CCGCGGAGGAGGCTGAGCTCTGACAGGCTGCTGCAGCTGCAGGGTGCCTGGATGATACGGGCTTCTGGTCAGAGTACGGGAAACCGAGGGGCAAGGGCCTTGAGCTGTGTGGTGCTTCCGGGGTGGCAGCCCCAGGTGAGCAGGGCGCCTTCCCTTGGAAGGACGCAGGGACAGTTCAGCGCAGACGAGGGATGGGGTGAGGGTGTGAGAGGGCAGTCAAGGCCACCTGTCTGCAGTGGGCATTTATCTCCTCAAAGTCTAACTCAGAGCACAGTCCATCCTGTGCCTGCAGCATCTCTACTGACCACCATGGACGCAGCTTCACTGCAGCCCCCTGCCCATGGCGCGAGCCCGTCACTCAGCATCCAGACTGCTTCCTGCATGTGCCCTCCTGAGGCTGCAGCACCCTCAAACCAGTAAACAGCCGATCTTTGATCCCACCCAGACACACAGCTTCCCAAACTGACTCAGACACTGAGACCCCATTTCCTTGTCATGGGTGGCCTTCCCTCACCCCCAGACCCCAGGTGGTCACCTGCTGGGTTGGCCAGGCCTCTTGGCAGCGTGTCTGAGTCATCTGTGCCAGACCCTGGAGAGTGGCGTTCAGGAACCAGGAAGGAAGCCTGAGTCTGGCGGAGATGGGTTGAGTCCTTGACACCAGGAGGGGACGCCTGTTCCTCTCTGCAGGAGGGCTGGTCCCGGCCAAGGGACAGAGTTAGGCACCTCGGTCCCGCTCCCAGAGTGAAATCACATGGCAAGTGTCAGAGGCCCCCGCTCTCAGCCTTGAGCCACCGGACCTGCTGACCTGCTTCCCGTGTCCTGTGTGACAGGACCACACCGGCCCTGGCTCTGCACACACAGACCCCAAGGGACACGTCAGGGGGCAGACAGGCCCCGGGTGGCTGCTTTGATGATGGCCATCAGAAGGTACCTGGGTACATGCCAGAGGAAACCAGACCTTGGGCTTCTTTGGACCAAGGGTGACCCTGATGAAACTAACCACCCAGGAGAGCCCCTGCTCCAGCCTGAACCAGACTGTATCTGCTGATAGAACACAGACCCTCCTGGAGGAAGCCACACTCATGTTCCCAGGCCCACTGCTCCCCTCAAAGGAATCAGCCTCCCTCCAGGGACAGATGGCAGGAACCAGATGTTTCCCTTGAAGGAAAGGTGCCCTTTGCTGGGGTGGCCGTTACAAACTCACAGAGCGGGGCCCTCAGACCACAGAGAATGACACCCCTGCAGGCCTGGAGGCCGGAAGTCTGAGGCTGAGGTGCCGGCCGGGCTGGTGCCTTCTGGGGCCCCAGACCTCTCTCAGCTCCTGTTTTGCTGGCTCCTCTGATGTTCCGTGGCTCATGGAAGCATCACCCCCATCTCTGCCTCCATCTCCCTGCGTGTGTGTGTCTGTCTCTGTATCCAGATTTCCCCTTTTCATAAGGACACCTGTCAGACTGGGCGAGGACCCAGCCTGATGACCTCCTCTTGACAACATCCACAAAGACCCGGTTTCCAAATGAGGCCATGTTCTGAGGTTCCTGGGGGTCAGGACCTCAGTATGTGAACGGGGGGCACCGTTCACCCTGTAACAGCTGATGACAACACACGCTTGCCTAGAGATGCCTGGTGGGTCCCTGTTCCCCTCAGGCACGAAGGGTCGAGGTGGCAGCCATCTCACAGCCAATTTACTAGAAACACCTCACCAAAGGCGGCATGAGCCCACCCCCACGGCCCCCTCTGGAGTTTGCTGGTGCCTGACCCCACCTCCTCTCCGCTGTCCTGGTCAGGGCCCCACTGTGGGTGAGAAGGGGCCTCTGGCCTACAGGGCCACCCCACCCCCACCCTGCGCTGTCTCCTGAAGTGCCCGGGCCGCTGCTGGGAGGGATGGGTGGGCAGCCCAGGGCTCGGGAGCCTCTGCTGGTTCCTGGCAAAGGTTGAGCTCCAACTGCATTTGTGTTTGTGTCCGACCACCGCACTGGACGGCTTTTTTTAAAATGGCATCCAGATGCCTGAAGGAAGCTATATTGTAAATTGTGTTCTATTTCTGAGCACCAATATCTAAATGAAGCCGATGCACCTGTTGGGGATGGAGGAAGGGAATTTCACAAGCCTAAAATAAAGTCCCATGTTTGCCCTTCTGTGCTGGCCCATGGAAAATGCTCTTATATTTATATCTGGGCTGGCGGAGGGTGGGTTGGCAGGCAGGGTGAAGACAGGCCTGGGCACCTGCCAGGGAGCCAATGTGGAATGAATGGGGGAGATGTTCCCCTCCGAGGAGGGTGGCTGCAGTCAGCACACCGCGTCCCTGCCATGGGGCCACATCCCCGCTGGCCACTGAGGCCTCACAGCTTCCCGCCTCGCTATTCCTCATGGTTCTGCCTGGTCAGCAGCAGCACTGACCCAGGAATCTCGTTTAGTGTTTGGGTTTCTGGAGCCCACTCCCAACACCCACGGGTGGGGATCAGGAAGGGGTCCAACCCTCACTCACACTTGTCCCCACGTGAGGTGGGGCACTGCAATCTGGGTCCTCTGCCCCCCACCTACAGGCTTTCTTTTCTCTACCCAGATTTTTATGTGTCACACTTTCTCTTTTCTCCCTTTGGAAGGCCTTTTGATCACATTGCTCCACACACACTGTCAGTGCCTCTCTCTAGGGCAGGAGACCTGGTCGGGAGACCGGAGGCCCAGGACCTGAGGAATATGAAGCAGGTGTTTCGGAGGCGGTGGGCTGAATCTGGGCAAAAGCAGGAGCCTAAGAAATTCGCAGCATTCTGGACAAGAGAATTGGGGTGGGGGTGGCATCCGCACTGTATGACAAGTGCTCCCAGGAGGCGCGTGAGGGGCGGTGGACAGAAAACCCCTGGGGCTGCCTTCTGACTGGGATGCTTGTGCCCGGCTCATGGCTCAGGTCCCAGGACAGGTGTGGGAGGGATGCCCGGCCTCCCGGGGGCCTGGCTGCCCCCCACTCCCTGTTGAGACCTCTCTCCTGAAGCTGAAGACACACTAGGGAGCCCAGAGGCTTCCATAAATATCGGGTTGGCCCAGAATATTCCGGGGGTTCTCTGGAAGTTTGAAAATAGCCCACTGGTTACTATCTATACTCGGAGAGCCCACTCCTGGCCTCCACTTGGTGGCTAAGTATAGCTCCCTGGCAAAGTTCAGTGGAACAAAAGTTTCCAGCCTCCATCACCTTGCAGATGGTGGAGCATTCCAGGGAGAGCACCACGGCAGCCAAGACCGAGAGGTGCTAGGGAGAGGCTGGGACATGGGCGCGGCGGGCGGCACCCCCTCCCCGAGTTGGGGGTCTGTGGGCCTGTGCCGGCAAACGCAGAATCCTCGCCAGGTGAGCAGTGAGGCGTGCTGGCTCCAGCCTTGCGGCCCTGCTGGGCTTCACTCCACCGTGGCGCTGCGGGGTCTGCGAGAAGGAAGTCGGTGAGCCGCTGCTGTAGAGCTCAGGAGGGGCCAGGGAGACCTGGCAGCCAAGGAGATGCGAGACGCCAAAAATACAACACAACCGCTCCCTCCAGGGAGACCCTCCACCCTTAGCCTCTCCCGGATGCTATGTCCATTCCTGACCACCAAGTTCCAGCTCCAGCCCACCTCTCCTCCAAGCTGCCTCCGCCCGGCCCACTGAGCTGCTGGCGAGGTGGTCTGGCAGCTGCCCACGCGTCCATCCCCAGGTGCCCGCAGAGCCCTGGGCAGAGCTGGAGGACAGGAGGGCAGAGGGCGAGAGTGGAGGGGGCCACCACCAGGGTCCATCCTCGGGTATCCTGTGGAATAGACAGCGGTCCTCCCATGGGTCAGTCAGAGCCCCCGACTGGGTTCACAGCCCGCTCTCCCCAGGCTAACCCCTCCCCCACCTCTGCCCCTCAGGGCTGCTCGCTTGTCCCCATAAGGATGGCCTGGAACTAGTGCTCAGGAAGATGCAGAATCACTTCAGTCCATGCTCACAGCTCAAACACCTGCCACCTGTCCTCCCCCAGGAACAAGCCTGGGGCCCAAGACACAGTCACAGCAGCACTTCAGAAATGGAGGCTGCAGGAAGGCGGGTCACGGAGCCCAGGGGCCTTTCCGTGAGCGCTGCAGAGCAGCCTCTGAGACGTAGCGGCTTGGGACCAGTCAGAAAGAGCCAGAGAGCGAGGAGACCCCACTGGGCATCGGGGAGGCACGGCCGGCCGGCTGCTCAGCTCTGGTCACCTTGGGGGTCATCTCCTGTCTTCTCTTGCAGAACCTAACCCACATTCCTATACCAGCAGTTCTTCAGGTGGTCAGCAGACCAGGGGCTGCGCTGGGGGAGGCTGGTTACAGTTACCATAGCTGTGGACAGTGCAGAAGCTGGGGGGCCACACTGCCAGGGGCTCCACACACACCAGGGCACCACAGTTCACCACCGCCCATCCACACAAAGCTCATCAGCTTCAGGACATCTTCCATCCCCAAGTCCTGGTCCCTCTGAGCTTCTGAGTGAAGAATTACACTTGCTAGTGACAGCATTTGTGCTTTCGAGAAAAAAAATGGCCATTTTGGAAATGTCTGTCTTCCCTAAAAGCTTGGCAGTTCCCCAAGTTTAAAGACTTTTCAGATGAGAGTTTTTGATACTATAAAATGAAACTCGCCAACATTTGGAAGCTCTGTTTAGTCAGTGAAGCAGTATTTTCCAAATGACCAATGTAGATGCCACAAAGCCCTGCCTGGACCAAAGACAAAGCAGCAGACAGACCAGCAGAGCACGGGAAGCTCACTGCTCAGCGCCAGGACCAGAGTGCACCTGGAGGAGATCTGGTCCTTCCCAATCAGAGCCGTGTCAGCTAAAAGTGGTTACAGTGCAGACCACCCATCAGGCAAAGTGTCACAAGGAGGATGTTCATGGGGCCAAATGCGGAGACGTGCAAAAACGCCAAACACCACCACTCTCCTCACTACAGCTTTGTCTCAGAAAATAACTATTGTTTACAAAATGTTAAGGTGTTATGGGTTTATTATGATTATTTTTAATAAATTTGATAAACAAAATCTTTAAGAAACATAGCACATTTAACTTCTGAAGCACGTGAAAATAGATGGGAGCCTCCCCCCCGACACACTCTCACTCTTTGGGATCCTCAATTGTCTGTGAGGGTGTGAGGGTCCCTGAGATGCACAGCGTGGGAACCCCTGTCCCTCGTGTGACCCTGGTGTATGAACGTGAGCTCTCGGGGCTGGAGTGGCAGGGGGGCAGCCCCGGGAGGAGCTGGGCAGTGGGCCCATCGCTCCATGGGAGACACTGGCTGGGCACGTGGGGGTGATTCTGCCTAGATGCTTTCTGCTTTACTCACTGACTCTGGGAACAACTCTGAGGCCATGTGACTTCCTCACCCCTGTATTCACCTTCCTGACCTCACAGTCACCCAGTTCCACCTCCCAAGCCTTTCTCAGACCAGATCTTCACCTCGACCCTCATAGCCTTCACCATAGTCCACATTCTTGCAATTTCGCAGGCTGACAAGTGGAAGAATCTTTCTGGCCCCCAGGTCCATCTTCCATCCAGCCTCCACCCTGCATGCTGGTGCAGCTCCACCACCCTCTCACTAAGCGCTGCTCCAACCTCAGACAGGCTGTCTGTCTGTCCTGCAGCCTTAGATGGGCTATCTGTCCTGCAGCCTCGAGTTCAAGCCCGACATCCTCGGCAGCACATATGAAGCCACTCTCCCCCACGACCTTCACCGCGTGGTGGCAGCCTGCATATCCATGCCTGACCTCTACCAGATCCTGGACAAAGAAGAAAGGAATAAATGGAACAGGGCAACCTCGACGTAACCAGACTCTCCTCCCCTTTTAATCCAGCTATCGGGGCTTTCCCCAGCCTTGGAGAGGGGTCTGCTCTTTTTAGCACAAATGGAATAACCATCATCAGCCCCAGGAGGCCTGCAAAGCAGTCTCCTGGGTTATCCAGGCCACAGGAATCAAGCCCCAGATCTATTTACAGGGGTGGCTGGGGTGCTGGACCACACGTGCGGGCGTCTGAAAGCAGGTGAGCTGGGTGCACGTGTCCCTTGATGAGGGGAATAGTTTCCACAGTCAGTGGCTCAGGGGGGGAGGCAGGAGCGTGAGCAGATGCCAGCTGCCTGTCCCGGCTGGCCAGGCCTCCCCGCCTCGTGCATACAGTACGTGATGCCATGTCTGGAGCTCTCACTTGGGAAAGCTGGAAGTGATGGACTCCGTGTAACTTACTCCTGATTTAACCAAATGAACAGTTTCTCTGCAGGGCGACTGCACTTACCTGAGAGCTCCTTTGGGGACGAAGAGGGACCAGCAGTCGCTGCAGATGCACGTGGCACAGCACCGACATGACCTCTCTCATGTTTTGTCCCCTTTGACGGAGGACGCTGGCACAGGGAGCCTGAAGCAGCTTGCTGGGAGTCACACAGCGGGCCCGTGGCAGAGCTGGGATTTCTGGCTCCAGGGTCCTGCTCCCAAACCACACTGCTGCTCAGTAAGCAATTTTTAATTTCCTTTTACTTGGAAATCAGAAATAAGGCACTAGATTAAAAAAAAAAAAAAAGAAAGAAAGAAATAAGGCACTAGATCAGAATGTCAGATACTGTTTTTAACCTGGGGCCACAGCATGGGGTGAGATGGTCAGAAGGGGCTGGGAGGATGTGCAGGGAGGGGAGCTCTGGAAGCCACATGGGAAGGGGGTACCCTCGTGCCTGGCCGGGGGAGGAGGAAGGGCTTGCAGAGGGAGGCAGGCCGGAAGGAAGCCACTCAGAGCTGATCAGAGTTTGGGAAACAAGACAGAGAGGCAGAGGAAAGAGAGGAGAGGAATGTCGGAGTGACAGGTCTCTCTCTCTGTGTGTGTGTGTGTGTGTGTGTGTGTGTGTTAGTTGCTCAGTCGTGTCCACTCTTTTTGACCCCATAAATTGTAGCCTGCGAGGCTTCTCTGTCCATGGAATTCTCCAGGCAAGAACACTGGAGTGGATTGCCATTCTCTTCTCCAGAGGATCTTCCTGACCCAGGGATCCAACCCGGGTTTCCTGCATCGCAGGCAGATTATTTACCATTTGAGCTACAGGGAAGTTCTAATTCACAGGAACACCTTGTAATTAAAGAGGGTGATGGGTCCATAGAAAAGCTTGAAAAGATCCTGAGGCAGGTGACTGTGGGCTGCTCACAGCGGGCGTGGGGCTAAAGGGATGCAGGGAAGCGGCCCGTGGCACCGTGCGCACAGCGGGGGCTCCCCGCAGATGTGGCCAGCTCTCGGCTCTGGGCCACTCCACCCAGAGCCTTTCCTCTGGATGGGAGGGTCCCCAGGGACTCACAGAAATACCCAGAGCTGAGCACAAAACATGATCGGGGATGATTATGTTTGCGAGCAGGGTCAGTGAGCCATAGCCCAGAGGCCAAACCCAGCCCTTCCCACCTACTTCTGGACAGCTCATGAGCTGAGGACGGTTGTGTCCAAAAAAAGCAGAAGACACAGCAGCATTATTCACAGTGGTCAGCAGGCGGATGAATAAAGCATGGTCTATTGGTACAAAGGGACACTCCTTAGCAATAAAAAGGGAGGCAATCGTGACACACACCACATGGGGGTGTCCCCTGAGGACATGATGCTCAGTCACATAAACCAGACACAAAAAGGCATGTGCTGTACGATTCCACTGACACAGGGAACTAAGGGAGTCACAGCCACAGAGACAGCAAGTGGATGGTGGCTGTGGGGGGCTGGGGAAGGAGGTTCTGGGGAGGGAGGGGTTTAGTGGGAAGAGAGTCTCAGCTTGAGAAGGCGAGGGAGCTCTGGAGGCAGACGGAAGTGATGGCCACACCACAGCGTGAATACTCCTAAAGCCTCTGAACTGTACACTTAAAAATGGTTACAATGGAAATTTTTAAAAATTCTGTTAAAAAAAAAAGTACCAAACCATCAAAAGAATTTGTGGCCAGAAAATATTCTATGAGGGTCACACCTCCATGTCTCTGTCACGACCCATGGAGACCTGTTTGGTGTGCAGGCACAGAGAACAAATCCTGGGTCTTTAGAGATCACCAAGTTCAAGGCCTTAATCTCCAGGGCCAAGATACTAAGTCCTGAGGAGTTCAGGAGACGATGAAAAGGACAAGAAGACATGAGGTGGGAGTGAAGTCTGGGGCACTGGGCCCTTCTCACTCTGAGCAGGTGCTCCCAACCAGTGCACAGGAGGGTTTGGCCGCCTGCTGGCTCCCAGCTCGGCCTGAAGAAGAGATGGACTTCCTCCTGGAGGGATGGCATGCTCCTGTTCAGCCCTCCCCACTGCCTCCGCCCCCAGAACGTTCCTCCCACCTCCTGCTGGCACACCGCCCCACTTGCATCACTCCTCGGTGCCCCGGCCACCTCAGCTCCCACTGCCGACTCCTCTTACACACACTCGCCCCAGCCCACGCTGTGGGCATCAGCTGTGTTACCTCACGGTGGAGTCTACCTGCACCTCTGCAGCGTCACCTCTTCTGTGAGCGTCAGATTACCCCCGCCCCCACGGTAATCTCCCAGGAGGGAAGACGCCCTCCCTTTCTGTCTCTCACTGCCACGCTCTGTCGTGTTTCACCCCCAGATGCCAAAAAAACCCTCGCTGTTGAGGGTCTCCAGGGTGGACTGAATTGAAATGAAAGGGCAATAAAGAAAACTCTGCACATCACCTTTTCAAGTCACCTCCTGTCCACTAATTCCCTGGAGGGAGCATTGCTCTGCTGTAGGGAACACTTATCTGCGGCTTGGAAAGTTACATACACACAGGGTTGGTCTGACTGCAGAGCCCATGTGTGTTCTGCGCTCTTTGTTACTCATGGTGTATCCCTGGAACAGCAAGCTTCTGCCCTCAACACCCAGGACACTGGCTACACAGGCAGTCTTCCAGACCTCCTGACTCAGAATCAGCATTTCAACACGCTCCCTGGATGACTGGTACTCACACTAATGTTTGAGCAATGCCATACCATGTGCTCTCTTAGCAACACTGAGAAATCACTGCAAATGAAAGGAAATCTGGGAATGCACATCAAAACCACAAGGAGATACGACTTCACACCTCACGGCCATTAGGGAGGCTGCGCAAAAAAGGAAGGAAAGGAAAGAACAAGTGTCAGTGAGGACACAGGAAATGCAAGCTGGGGACGTTGGTGGGGAGGTAACATGGTGCAGCAGCATGCAAAAAGACTGAAGGTTCCTCAGAAAATTAAACACAGAACTACCACGTGACCCAGAAAATCTACCTCTGGGTGTGTACCCCAAAGAACCAAATAAGAGGAACTGTAATAAGACACAGTGGACACCCATGTTCACAGCAGCATTACTCGCCAACAGCCAAGGGGTGGAAGCAACACAAATACCCACAACAGATGAATGGATAAGCAATATGTGGTCCATCCATACAATGGAATATTACTCAGCCTTAAAAAGCAGGGAAATTCTGGCACCTGCTACAACATGGGTGAACCTTGAGGACATTATGCTCAGTGAAATAAGCCAGACACAGGATTCCACTTACATGGGTCCCTGGTGCAGACAAATTCAGACACAGAGAGTAGAAGAATAGCTGCCAGGGGCTGGAGGAGGAGATCCACACTCAGTGTTTACTGAGCATAGAGTCTCAGTTTGGGAAGAGGGAAAAGTTCTGGAGATGGACCTGGGATGACTGCACAACGATGTAGTGCACTTACTGCCACTGAACTGCACACTTGAAAATGGTTAAGACTCCCCTGGTGGGTCCAGGGGTAAGACTCTGTGCTCCCAAGGCAGGGCACTTGGGTTCAATCCCTGGTCAGGGAACTAGACCCCACATATTGCAACTAAGACCCAGTGCAGCCAAATTTTTTTTTTTTTAAGGAAAAGGTTAAGAAGGTAAATTTTATGTTACATATTTTACGTTAAAAAAAAATGCTTTGAAATAAGACAGGAAGTCTGAGGAAGACTGTAAGAAATGCTCCAGGCTCCATTCTTGTCCTGCAACCTTGACACTTCAGGCTGACTCCCTGAGGTGTCAAGGCACCTACCACATCTCCATGAAACACATTTTAATGGAGCAAATCAGAACATGTGACCATGTGTAAAAGCTTCTGTCCTTTGGTTTATCACTCCCACCATGGCAGAACAGGCATTAACCCACATCTAGTTAACAAAAAGCCCCAGAAATAGAGGCCCTGTGATGAGCTTATCTTCTACATGCTTGAAGGCTGACTGTTCAGAAGAGTAGGGGCTGATGGTATCAGCTTGGGGTCTATGCCCAGCCCTCTTTCAGGGGGCTTGTTTGTTCAAGTTTCCCCACTACACAAATGCACACTGTCAGGCACTTAGACCTATGCATTCAACTGTGAGCATGGTTCACATGATCATAACGCTGAGAACATCACCTGTATGGGGGAGGATGGATTGTGGTGGGGATAGAAGACAATTCCTCATTTCTGCTTGGTGACAATCAAAAGATGCCATTGAAAATGATAATAAAGGAAAGAGAAAAAGAAAGAGGGAAACAAGTAGGCTGTTTATAAATATGGAGGAAGGGGCTTCCCTGTGGTTGAGTATCTGTCTGTCAAAGCAGGGGATGCAGGTTCAATCGCTGGTCCAAGAAGATTCCACATGCCACGGGGCAACTGAGCCCATGTGCCACAACTACTGAGCTGGCACTCTAGGGCCCATGCTTCACAAGAGAAGCTACTGCAATGAGAAGCCCACGCACTGCAACTAGAGAGCAGCCCTTGCCAGATGCAACTAGGGAAAGCCCACATGCAGCAATGAAGACCCAGTGCAGCCAAAACAGTCAGTGAATTAAAAAAGAAAAGTAACACAGAGGAAAAGAACAGATTTAAAAGTGGCTGCCTTTGGACTTCTGGTAGTCCAGTGCAGGGGACACAGGTTCCCTCCGGACACGCATTCCATCCCTGGTCTGGGAAGATCCCGCTCCAGGGCAACTAGGCCCGTGCTCTGCAACAAGAGAAGCCATCAGAATAAGAAGACTGCACACCATGACCAAGAGTGGCACCCGCTCGCCGCAACTAGAGAAAGCCCGAGCCCAGCAATGAAGACCCAGTACAGTCAAAATAAGGTAAAAAATAAAGTGCCCACCAAACCTGGGGGAGGGCATAGAAGAGTGTTTGATAATTCACTCTTTAAATCAAGTACATATAATATTGTCTTTGTCTTAGTTTGTTCAGGATGCTGTAACAAACAATACCACAGACTTGGGGCCTTAAACAACCACCCTTGAGTTCTCACAGTTTGGAAGCTGGAAGTATGAGATCAAGGTGCTGGCAGACTTGCTGTCTGACAAGAGCCCCTTCCTGGATCATGATGGTGCCCTTACCTGGAGAAAGGGTGAGGAGCTCTGTGGGATCTTTTATGAGGGCCCCACCCCCATAACCCCATCACTCCCAGAGGCCCCCTTCTAACACCATCATACTGGGGGTTAGGTTTCAACCTGTGAATGTGGGGTGATGCATTTCACTCTATAGTCAATATTTAAATTATAAACAATAAAATGAAGTTCCCAGGTGAAGTCCCTCAGAGTAGGGCACCTGGCACAGTACTTGGTGCAAAACAGATGGCACCATGAACTTGTGAGATGTCCCTTCATCACTCCCACACACTGTACAAATCACTGAGATTCATAGGTGACCTTGCTTCTATAGTTCAGAGAATACATTGCAACCACCGTCCAGAGAAATGCACCAACAGCTCTTCAAAGGAAGTTTTAACGGCTCTGCATGAAACAAAACAGTGATTCCAAGAAAACAACCATCAGAAACACAACTGAAAACAGTGAGATACCATTTTTCACAGGTCAGGTGGACGGGGAGCCACTGTGCTGAGGAAGGTTCCGGATCCCTTCCTTTGGTGGCTGGGATCAATGGAACTTCCAGAAGGAACTTGCCAAGAGCTATCAACTTTACTTCAAGTACATCCTGCTAGGCCCAGCAAATCCAATTCCAGGGATTTATCCTAAAAAAGGACTCAACACTTGCGCAGGAAAGCTGCTTGTGTCCAAAAACTGGTAACAACTTCATTGTCAACCAACAGGGGACCAGTTGGACAAGTTATGGCAAATGGAGATCTTCAGGATGGTCTCCAAGAAACACCTAATCGGAAGAAAGCTATTTGCTGATACTTGTAGGAACAGAACTGGAGGGCTGCGCTCTGTTCTTCACTGAAAACAGAATCATGTTAAAGCCAAAAATAAATTTTTACAACGGAAGGGGGAAGCTGGGAGTTATTGTGTAAGGAACAGAGTTTGACTTTAAGAAAATGAAAAAGTTCTAGAGTTGGAGAGTGGTGATGGTTGCCCAACAATGTGAAGGTACTTAATGCCACAGAATCGCACGCTTCAAAGTGGTTAAAATGGTGTATTTTACACCAGTAAGAGTCATTATAAATGTGGCAACCCACTTCAACAGGGAAGCCTGGAGTGCTGCAGTCCATGGGGCGCAAACAGTCGAACACGACTGAGCGACTGAAATTCAACCCTGAAAAGAGAATCCCAGCTGGTACGGAGCTTTAAAAGAGAGGGGTGGGGCTGGAAAGCCCCACCTATTCCGAAGAAGTTCCTCCCTTAGCAGCCCCTCACCCAGGAACTGGTCGGTGAGGGGATGGGGAGTCTGTGGGAACCCCGGGCGGCGGGGTGAGGGGAAGCTCGGGTGGCGTGGGGAGAGAAAACTCGAGTGAGGCGTGAAGAACCTCGGGCAGCCGGGCTGAGGAAAACTCGGCAGGCGGGGTGAGGGAAATTCAGGGCGGCCGGGTGAGGGGAATTTCAGGCGGCTGGGTGAGGGAAACCCAAGGCGGCGGGGCGTGGGGGACCCAGGGCGGAGGGGCGCGTGTCCCGTGGCGCTGAGCGCGGCATTCACCCAGAGTCTTCACCGGGAACCCTCGGCGCGTTTTGGGGAACGGCACCACCACGCGCAGGCGCAAAGCTCGCGCCTGCGTGGACTTCGCGTGAATGTCAGGGGAGGGCGGTGGAGGCGAACCAATCCCTGCGCCTGCGCAGAGTCTGAGCGCGTCTTAGGGCCAGCGGGGGCGGGCTCAGGGTCGCCAGCCTATCTTCCGATGCCACTCATTGGCTGAGAGGTGGAGCAATAGGCCGGGCCCGCCTTTGATTGGGCGGCACGCGAGCAGGTGGGGCGTTGAGGACCAATCGCCGGCCTCGCTGCGGCGCGGGTCTGGACGGCTGGCGGCCGTGGGTTGGGGTCTCTCTGTTCTTCGGTCATGGCCTCAGAGAAGCCGACCGTGGTGGTGACTTGCACCGCGCCCGTCAACATCGCGGTCGTCAAGTACTGTGAGTGGTGGGCTCGTGAGGCGCAGGATGTGGGGGCCCTGCAGACAGGGAAACTGAGGCTGGGAGGGGCTTGTTTGGGCGGTGGCCGGGTCCCCGGCCGGTGGCAGGTGGGCTGGGCCCTCGTGTGGACGTGATTGTGGGTCCGCGTGCAGATGTGGGGACCCTCCCGCGGTACGATCGCGGAGCTGGGCATCACGTGCAGCCAGGAGACGTGGGGACGTGTTTCATACAGGACGCCGGTCCCCGTGGGGGCTTGATTCCCACGGTCACGCCCACCCTGCCACCTCCGCCTGCTCTAGGTGTCTGTCTTGTTCAGTTCTCAAGAATGCTCCCGGGATTGGCTCCTCTCCCTCACTAGTTTCTGGAGAGTCACCCGCGTGAATCTTGGAGTCCCCAGGGGGGAGGGGCCACAATTTGCTTGGCAATATGCCTTTACAAGGCAACTGGGCTGTTTCCACTTTGGATCAATTATGGAAAAAGCTGCTGTAAACTTTTGTGTACAGGTTTTTGTGTCAATGTAAGTTTTCATTCTTCTGGATAAATGCCCCGGGAGTACAATTGCTAGGCCATGGAGTGGTTGCATGTTTGGTTTTTTAAAGAAACAAACTTTTCCCATTTGACTGTACCATTTTTCATTCCCACCAACTACATATAACCGTATGGGTGATCCAGCTTTCTGGCATGTGTTGTTGTCACTAGCAGTTATTTTAGCCATTCTGATGGTGATATCGTACTGTGGCTTTAGCTTGTTTTTCCTGCTGCTCGGTGATGTCGAACAGCGTTCTGTGTGCTCATTTTCTCTCTGTGAGTCTTAGGTGAAATGTCTCTTCAGGACTTTCATCACATTCTAACTGAACTGTCTGCTTTTTACTATTGAGTTTTGAGAGTTCGTTTTGTATTTTAGATAATAATCCTTGCTACATACAAGGTTTGCAAATATTTTCTCCCACCGTGTAGCTTCTCTTTTCATCCTCCTAACAGAGCCTTTCAAAGGGTTGAAGTTGTTAGACGGTGGTGGGGGCCAATGTGTCATCTCCATCCTTGGTAGCAAGTCAGAGACATCGTGATCCTAGCCCTTCATCGTGAGGAGTATTTACTATGCTTTTTCCTAAAGGTTTTAGGCTTTTACGTTTTAAGTTGAAGTCTGATCTATTTTGAGTGCTTTTGTTCAAGACAGGAGACTGAGGCGTGGCTGTGTCGGGCCATGGATTGTCCAGTCACCCAGAGGCATTTTCAGAAGGTTTCATGCTGCACACCTCCTCCAAGGAACTGCTTTTGCACTTTTGTCAGCAAGCAACTGGGCATGTTTATGGAGGATCGTTCTGTGTTCTCCTGGATTACCTACCAGGATTCGTCTTCATGTCTTGTAACTGTCCGCCACCCCAAAGACGAATATGGGGACCCTTTCGTCCCCACCTGTGCCTAACAGTGGATCTGAAATTTTGGACTTTGTGGAAGGTTTCCCGTATTTGCTGTGATATGCAGGAGTGGAAGTGCTCAGTGGAAGTGGGGATAATTCCAGAGTGTCTCCAGGGGTATAAGCAGGGAGATTTAAGGAATTTTCAGTAACTAGGACTCCCTCTGTTTGGGAGGGAAAGGGAAGAGACTTAAATCAGAGCACTCAGCATCTGGCAGGCACTCCAAGACTACTTGCTGAATGAGTGAAAAACAAAACAGAAGCAGTGAAGCAAGGGGATGGACTGGCCACCAGCTCTGCTCTCAGGAGCTAAGTGAAGTGGGGATCAATCGATGAGGGATTCCTGAAGGTGGGGCACAACAGGAGGAGGACTTAGATTGTGCAGTGAAAGAGCAAGATCCAGGCAACTTGGGGAGCTATGGGGTGGCGGTGGCGTTGGGGAGGGGCAGGGCATTGGTGGGCAAGAGCAACAGGGTGCCCCTATGTTGGGCTGGGACACTGACTCGCTTTGTGGTGGGCCATCTGTTCCAGGGGGAAAGCGAGATGAGGAGCTGATCCTGCCCATCAATTCCTCTCTCAGCGTCACGTTGCACCAGGATCAGGTGAGCATGGGCTGTTGATATACATCGAAAAAATATTTACAAAACCCTTGTTTACAGATGGTATCAGTACATCCCCAGCCAACGAACACCATCCGTCCCATTGCCCACTGTGAGGTGTGCTCAGCACATGGGCACATACATGCTGGGCCCTCCTAGGAGATCCCTGCCCTGCATTTTCTGCTGGAAGATGGGCATGTGGGCCCTTCCCTATGTAGTAGACACCCACAGGGCTTCCCCACCGCTCGAGCCCGGCCTGCCTTGGCCTCCACCTCCACTTCCCTGTTCTCTAGCAAGGCCACTGCTCTGAGCGGATGACCAAGAGGGGCCAGGGGAGGAAAGGCCCCACAGAGAGGGAGGCTTGGCTGGTATCCACCACTAAGGTGCTCTGCACTTTCTTTCCCAGTTAAAAACCACCACGACAGCCGCCATCAGCAGGGACTTCACGGAGGACCGGATTTGGCTGAACGGCCGGGAGGAAGACGTGGGGCAGCCTCGCCTCCAGGCCTGCCTGAGGGAAAGTGAGTAGGGGCCTTGAGGATGCTGGGTTTAGGACAAGTCCGCCCCTACCCCTGCACTGCTTCCTCGCGCTGGGTGGGTCTGAGCACATAGAAGGTGCTGCCATCACCTGCCCCCTCCCCACCTCTCACACCTTAGGGGGCTTGCCTGGCCAGGTCTGGACTTGGGGTCTCCCAAGAAGGGGGGTCTGTATAAGGCGCTCGGGCAGAGACCAGTCCCCCTGTGCTGACCCAGGCGTTGCCTCCCATCCCCGCAGTCCGCCGCCTGGCCCGCAAACGGAGGAGCAACGGCCTTGAGGACCCACTGCTTCTCAGCCTCAGCTACAAGGTTCACGTGGCTTCGGAGAACAACTTCCCCACGGCCGCAGGCCTGGCCTCCTCGGCTGCAGGCTATGCCTGCCTAGGTGGGTGCCCCAGGACAGGTCCCAGTGCTTGGCCCTGCATGCGAGGCCACGGCCTCAGCCATGGCACGCCTCTGAATGCTGAGATATTCTGGGGGCTCTGAGGGGAGGACCCGGCACATGACAAAATCCCCCACAAAAAACTAAGTGGGGGTGATTTCTTGGCTTATGTAGCAGAACCCCAGGGTTGTGGCCGGCTCCAGGCTCTCAGATGGCCTATTGGGAGCCCATCTTGCTCCTTCGGAACCCCTGCTCTGCCCTGCTCTCCTGTGGCTCACTCTCTAACAGGGCCCCCCACCCCCAAGCTGGGGGCAAAGCTGGTCACCACAGCAGTGGGTGGTTGGGTCACGTCTTCCACGTAGCCCTGAGACCAGTGAACCAGGGCAGACAGATTACCTTGTGGACCCCCCCAGGGCTGCATCCTGGCATCATGCCCTTAAGAAGTCCTGGCCTATGTCCAGCACTGCCAGCAGCCCCAGGCCTCCTGGTCCCCAGGGGGCTCCTCCTCCCAGCAGCTCATGTACCCTGAGGGCTGAGGCTCCATGCCCCAGGTGCCCCCCTTCTCTGGCACTGAGCACAGACCACCCCCCCACCTCTAGCCTATCTGAGCCTCCCCCGTCTCCACCTGCAGCCTATGCCCTGGCCCGGGTCTATGGGGTGGACAGCGATCTGTCGGAAGTGGCCCGCAGGGGCTCGGGCAGCGCCTGCCGCAGTCTATATGGTGGCTTCGTGGAGTGGCAGATGGGGGAGCGCCCTGATGGGAAGGACAGCGTTGCCCGTCAGGTGGCCCCCGAGTCACACTGGCCGGAGCTCCGAGTCCTGATCCTCGTGGTAAGTGGGGGGCCCAGCTGGGGTCGAGAGGGCCTTCCCAGGCTCCCTGGGCCGCGGGCACGGTAAAGGCCTCCTTCCCTTGCCGCAGGTGAGCGCTGAGAAGAAGCCAATGGGCAGCACGGCAGGCATGCAGACCAGTGTGGAGACCAGTGCCCTGCTCAAGGTGAGGCCAGCGGGTGACTGAGCAGGTGGCTCTTCAGGGGTGCTCAGAAGCCAGGTTCCGTGGCTCCACTCAACTCATGGGCTGGCCGTCTGCCTTGCAGTTCCGGGCAGAGGCACTGGTGCCAGCGCGCATGGCTGAGATGACCCGCTGCATCAGGGAGCGTGACTTCCAGGCCTTTGGCCAGCTGACCATGAAGGACAGCAACCAGTTCCACGCTACCTGCCTGGATACCTTCCCACCCATCTCCTACCTCAGTGACACATCCCGGCGCATCATCCAGCTGGCGCACCGCTTCAACGCTCACCATGGGCGGACCAAGGCAGGTGCGGGGCTGGGTTCCCCAGGTGGGCTTCACAGAACCTGCTTTGCTGGGGGCTGTGTCTCCATCTCACTCTCACTGGTGGCACAGCCCCCATGTTGGAAAAACTCCACTCCCCATTCCTGAGTGGCTGGCCTGTGGGTCCTGGAAGCTGGTCTGAGCCCATCTGACTGCCTGGTTCCAGGTGGCATACACTTTTGATGCGGGTCCCAACGCCGTGATCTTTACCCTGGATGACACCGTTGCTGAGTTTGTGGCTGCCGTGAGGCACAGCTTCCCCCCTGAGTCGAACGGAGACAAGTGAGTTGCAGGCCCCCATCCAGGAGGCCGTGGTGGGCAGCAACTGTGAGGACCACAGGCAGTGTCCCCACGTGCATGCCCATGTGGCTGTGGATGCTCATCTGCTCTTCCCGCCCCCAGTGGCACACGCCTGTCTCCAGCGGCTCCTGTGATGCCAGGGGCATCTGGATTTCTCCCTCCCAGCTGTTTAAGGGGCCCTGTTCTCAGTGTGGGGACACTTGACCCACTAGGGATGTGAGAAGCGTGTGTGGGTTCTTTTTATCTGTCACCCTATGGGGGCAGTGAGACTTCTGGTAGGTAGAGCTGAGTACTGCTCCCACCGTGCATGGGATGAGACTCACGATCGAGGATGTGGGGGCTCTGGACTCATCTCCCTGGTTACTGTGGGGGTAATTTGTAGGATTAAGCTTGAACTGAGGCCGTTTCTTAAGCTGTGTCCCCACGGGGCACAGCAGCACGGTGGGCAAGGGCGAGGGGCGGTACTACAGCCTCGTGGAGGTCTCCTAAAGCCCTCCCCTCAGAGACAAGAGCTAGGCCCTGGCTTTCTCACTCCATTTAACCACCTCGAGGTGTGCAGCCCAGTGGCGTTAAGAACAGGCTGAGCATCTTTGTTCATCAGCCCCAAAGACCCCGACCCCACTGGCAGTCACAAACCCCAGCAGTCCTGCATCTGCCTGTGCTGCACACTTCCCACCCCTGCCGTCCTTGGACTGCGGTCCAGCCCTGCCTTCTTCCCCCAGGTTTCTGAAGGGGCTGCCCGTAGAGCCCGTTCTGCTCTCAGATGAGCTTAAAGCCACACTGGGCATGGACCCCATCCCCGGCGGCATCAGATATATCATCGCCACCCAGGTGAGTCCTGGCTGCACACTGCACACGCCCTGCAGGCTCGCCCCAGGGCATCCACAGGAGGGCCAGTGAGGTAGCTGTGACCCTGCTCCTTGGTTTCACAGCACCTAGTGTTCCCCTTAGTCACTCACGGAGAATATTTAAGGACTGATGGATGCCTGTGGTGTGCAGGGGTGGGGCTGGACTGTGGGGTACCCTCCAGAGCAGGTCAGGGTCCCATCTGACTCCCAGACCTGTGACCTATGCTCCCCAGGCCTTGGCCTCAGCCAACGGCCCTGGACTTGCTGTCCACTCCATGTCTGCCCAGAGGGACTGAGCCTCTGCCTGAGGATTGGGCCCTGGGCCCAGCATCACCAGGGTGTCTGACCTGCCTGCATTTCCTGGAAGGGCAGGTGCACCTTGTCCCTCCCTGATGATAATTTCTCAACCCCGCAGGTGGGACCTGGGCCTCAGGTCCTGGACGACCCTGGCGCTCATCTCCTGGGTCCTGATGGTCTGCCAAAGCCAGCTGCCTGACCACGTCTTCAATGGGGCCCGGCCACCGCTGGGAGAAGGGGCTGCTTCACTGGGACTGGGAGCCGGGTGTGGTGAACAGGCCACGCTTGTTGGGATTTGTGGGTGACTGCCTGCTCTGGGCCGGGCCGTGTGCTGTGGCCGAGTTGGGCAATGGAATGATGCCTGCAGCCACCCAGGTGATCAGGGGCAGCCCCCCCAAGTGCCTCACCTTTCCCTGACCTGCACCCAGAGCTTGCTGAGATGGAGACCTGGACCCTGATCCAAGACCAGGGGACTGAGCTGGCAGGGAGCTGCTGGTGCATCGATCATGAAGGGATCCTGGACTCATAGCCACCCCACTGTTACAGGAGGTGATGGCATGTCGGGGTACCCCTCAGAGCTGGAAGCCATGTCACCATGCAGGAGGCGACCTCAGGACAGCTCCATGAAGTGCTCCCCCAACTCTAAGCCCAGGCCCCTGAGCGGGTGCAGTGTTGTGTCTGCGGGACAGGGGAGCAGTGCCAAGGCCAAAGTAAAAGCAGTTCGAGGACTCCACCTGGCCTGGTGTGCTTTCTGCAGCCCTCACCCAGGGGGCTGGGCGGACATTGTTGGGGGCAGGGCTGGGACCTCCCCGCCACGGGTGGGATGCTCAGCACAGGCAGACTCACGGCCACAGCCATGCAGTGCTGGTTGGACCTGGTCACTAAGGCTGACAGGCTGGGAAATGGTTTGGGTTTGGCTTTAAGCTCTGTCTATGTCCCCCTTTCAGGTGAGTTCCATTCTTCTCCACTGTCCTAACCCAGCTGGGGGGAATAGGGGGAGGGCTTCTGAGCCCTCTGACCTTGACCCTAAAAGGGGGTCCAAGGAGGGAGGTGACAAAGGACAGGGCCCAGCACTGCTACATTCTGGGTTTTCTCAGAAGCTTCCCACACTCATCCGCCCTCCCCCCCAAGTTAGTCCAGGGTTACCAGTGGGGCCAAGGCCAGCACACCTGCACTAGCCCAGGGCCTCCAGGGAGGCTCCCCACGAGGTGCAGGGGCCTGACCTGAAGCCCCGCTTCCCCTCCAGGAGTCCACCGAGGCCGGGCTGGTTGGGCCTGCAGGGGAGGAAGACCTGAGGTCCCGTGGAGGGGTGGGGAGCAAGGCTCCTGGGACCCCACCTGCCGCCGGCCTGTCACCTGGGGAACCGGGCTGGGGCGGAGCCAGCGGCGGGGCGGGGCGGTGCCGGAACTTGGGGAACTTGGGCGGGGCCGGAGGCCGGCAGAGCTCTGGGGCCGCGGGGTCTGAAGAGTCCGAGCCGCGTTGGAACCGATCTGCCGACATGGGGCAGATCGAGTGGGCCATGTGGGCCAACGAGCAGGCGCTGGCGTCCGGCCTGAGTGAGTAGGGGGCGCTCGCACTTGGGGCAGGGGCTGCAGAGGGGCGGCTGAGCCTGGGGGTCGGGCGCCGCGGCAGTGCAGGGGGGTGCTTGGGCTGGGGAAGTGGGGGCCTGGAGACCCCAGGCTGCGAGAGGTAAAGGGGGAAAGGCAGGCTGGAGGAGGGGCGGGAGCAGGGTCTTGAGGAGCCACAGACACCCGGCGGGAGCCTGGGGTGGGGCCCCGAGCCCGGAGGCTCCAGTGGGCGACCTGCAGCGCCGACGGGAAGGGGGCTGGGGGCCTCTGTTGGGAGCAGGCTGCAGCCGCCAAGAGGAGCCTTGGGGCTGGGGAGGGGGATTCGGGGCCCTCCTGCCCCTGCACCCCGTGCACACCCACACCCCGATCCTCTGCCCTCCTTCCCTCGTCCCCTCCGCCACACACACACAAAAAGAGGAAGTTCAGTTTGGGGAAGAAGCGCTTGCCCCGGTGGTTTCCGGAGAACTCACCGCCCAGTAGGGCTGGGAAAACCCAGCACGACCCACCCCTGCCTGGAGTGACCCTCCTGCCCTGGGGTGGGAGCTCTCTCCCTAAGGCTCCTGGGCTGCAGAGGTGGGCTCCTCCTGCCTCCTGGCCTGGGGCTTGGTCCATGGAGCTGGGTGACCGCTCTGTCTCCCGGGGCGCAGCCCTGAGTCTGCTCAGAAGGACATTCATTGCACAAGGCAGCTGGAGACGACCCATGTGACCCCTCCCACCCAGCTCCCAGGGCCTGCTTCTGGGTAGGAAGGCGGCTGTCCCCCCGCTTCCCTGTGCTCAGCCGCGGCTGCAGACAGTGCAGTACGCACTAGTACTCAGCTTCTCAGGAGAGGGTGGGGCCTAAGGCTAGAGGAAGCCGCCCGTGGCTCCGCCCCTCCCAGGAAGGCCCCGCCCACAGTGGGAGTGGGCGGACGGGAGGACCCGGGGATGAAGTGATGAGGCGGGTCTCAGCCACCATGGTTCACCTGGAACCCACCCTGACGCCCCCACCGCCAACCTGGGGACCGAAGGGAGGAGCCTGCAAAGCTGGGCTGGGGGTGGAGAGGGAGCACTTTAAGGTCACGTTTGGGGGTGGGCAACTTTGGAGTACCAAGCAGGGCAGCCCCCTTCTGGCTTCTAGATGGCGGAGAACCCAGCGGGTCAGTACGTGGTTCTCCTTGCCCAGTGTCTTCTCCCCTTGCTGTCTACCCCTCCGCATCACCACCACAATGACTACTGCTTGTCTTCCTCCACAACCTTCTGGCTCTGAATTCCTCCTTTTGCTAACTCCTGACTCAGTACAGGCCCCATGAGCATCTCAGCCCACCAGCCCTTTATGCTGTAGAGAATCACGTCTGTTCAGATCACGGTCCCTCTATCTCCCACCTCTCTGCCCCTGCCCCTCTGGCCTCGGGGGCCCACCACCCTGGTGTTTGCCACAGGGCTGGCTCCCCCCACTTCACCTCTCTGCCCACATCCACCTGCTCAGAGAAATGTTTCCAGAGCTCCCAGCCCGACAGCCACGGCACCCACCTCATTCACCATGATATGAAGTGTCTGTCCCCATCGAGAGACCCCAGCCCCTCTGGGAGCTGAGGCCCCCACTAATGACGCAGGCTCAGGCCAAGGAGATTGCACGCCCAGGTCGAGTGGAGGAGCCGTGGCCTGAACGCATGGGCGACGGCTCTTCCCTCCTCCCGCACAGCGCGGGTAAACATGACACCAGCAGAAGAAGGCCAGGGTTCAGGGGCTGAAGGGGGGAGCGGGGGGTCAGAGCTTTTACCTCATGGGACTCTGAGGCCAGACCGCGAAAGGCTGCCTGAACAAGAAACAGACCAAAAGATCGTCCCCTCCAAGGAGTTGTGTTATCTGCCACCACAGCCTGGACGAAGAAAGTCACAAGGAAGACAAAACCGCTGGAAACTCAGGCCTGTGCTACACATGGGGAGGGGCTGCCTCTCCCACTCTGTGCCGCAGGGACCACCGACGAAGCTCAGGTCATCAGAAAGGAGTGCTGAAGGGTGTGCTCCAGCCAGAGCGAAGTTGGATCCAGAGGGAAGATGGCTATGCCACTGTGAAGACACTGACTGTAAATAATTAATAATTGTGGCTAATTTGGGGTGAGATTAAAGATAAACCTTCTAAAGTCCACATGTAGTTCAGGAAGAGGAATTTTAAAATTACAGTTTGATCAAGTCAGTAGAAGGCAGGAGAAGCAACAAGAAAAGCTTGTTCAAGAGGAAACCCAAGTAAGATAACAAAGTAAGTTATCTGCAATCACAGTCAATAAAATGTGTCAAATTCACTATCAGATGGCTTAAAGGGTGGAGAGTTTAGCTCTATCAGCTGATTCATAAAAGCCCAACACTGGAAGCAACTGACATGTCCCAAAGGCAGGAGAATGCATAAATAAATTGTGAGAAACTACCTGATGAGACAAACAGCGAGCTGGGGCTCTCTGCAAACCACCCCAGGAAGGGCCTGGACCAACCTTCTGTCCAGCAAAAGAAGAGCCCCCAGAAAACCTGGGGTGGGTGAGAATGTTGATTTGGGTGGAGATCACATGGTGGGGGTCACACGTGTTAAAAGTCTGTGCACTTTATGTCATAGTGATACCTCAGTAAGTGACTGGAACCCTGAGGATGGGTGACCGTGATGGAGCAACAAGTGAGAGCGTGCTTCATGCCTCTGAGTGGTACACTGACGCTACCACCGTAGAGGAAAGTCACTGGGGAGGAACTGGGGCCATGCATATGTTCACAGCAGGCAGGCTGCGATCGGGCGCGCACAGGGCTGGGGAGACCAGACCCGGCATCACACAGAGCACATGAACAGGATCAGCCCGCACACCCGAGGCCAGGAGACAGTGTCCACGCAGCTGGTACAAGGTCAACCACCAACAGCATGGTCCTTAAATGCGTCGAGCAAACGCTCAGGGTGCTGTGGGTCACAGGCCTCGGGGCTGTGTCCAGGCTGGAGCCAGGCCCTGCCTCCCTCTCAGCAGCTCCTCAGCCCCCTCTTTGCCTCAAATGCTGCTCTTGGGGAAGGGTCCCAATGCCCATCCCTACAGCCACCCCCGTCATCTCCCAAGGTCTCCCCCGCCTGGGTCCCCTTCCTGGGCTAACACGGGGGCCGGCAGGGCAGCTCTGTGGTGGACTGGTGGCCCCCCTTTGGGGAGGGGGCCCTGGGGAGGTGGCCAGAGCCCCTGCAAGGATGGGATGTGGCATCTACTAACCTCCTTCTCCTCTGCCTGCAGTCCTTATCACCGGGGGCATCGTGGCCACGGCCGGTCAGTTCACCCAGTGGTACCTGGGCGCCTACTCCATGTATCCTCTTGCCACAGACCCAGGTCGGGGTTGGGGCCAGAGAGGCCGCTGCCCCTTAAAGGCAGGAGGGGCTCCGAGCAGGGAGGTGACAGAGCCTGGGGGCCTGGGCCCTGGGCTCTGGCAAGGGAGGGAGGTGTCCATGGCACCCGAGGGCTGACACTGAGGCCTGAGAATGCTCGGGGTTCCTCTGCATTCGCTTCTATCAGTCATCCTCCCCAGCTGGCCCAGCCTGTCCACCAGTGGACCGAGCCCCACCTGTCCTGGCCAGTCCAGATGTTACAAGCCCTCCAGAGGCCAAGGCAGGCATGGGGAAGGGAGGCTGCCCGCACTGTGGCCAGACCTGTTGGAATCCTGTGGACCTCAGGCAGTGGCCACACCTCCCGGTTCTCTCATCAAAAAAGCTGACTCTCTGGGGCCTCTCAGGCTTGATCTGGGCTGTTCCTTAACCTCCGCTTCAGAGCAGCGGGTGTATTGATCTGCATGCTGGAGTACCCCCGGGGGAAGAGGAGCAAGGGCTCCACCATGGAGAGGTGGTGAGTTTCTCACCCAGCTCTGGGCAGCCTCCTCCCTCCAGCTGTCACTACGAGGAGCCTGTCGCTCCTGTCTCTCTGAGGCTCCAGCACCAGCCCAATCAGGGTCTGCCCTGCCACTGGACCTGAGACCCCCTCCCCTCCCTGGGACGAAGGACCGGGTGGTCTGAGAGGCTGGGGTGGGTGGAGGGTGACACGGCCTGTCTCCCCCTCCTGCCTAGTGGACAGAAGTACCTGACCAAAGTGGTGAAGCTGTTTGGGCCCCTCACCAGGAACTACTACATCCGGGCCTTCCTGCACCTTGGGTGAGCCTGTGCCCACTTGGGACCCCCCAGTGCCATCGGCAGAGGACTGCTGGAATCAATCAGGCCCCTCCCAGCCCAGAACCCGTTCCAAACAAAAACCCAGGTCCCAGGCTCTGCCAGGGGCTCCCCAAACCTGTATCTGTCATTAACACTTCACCCCAGCCTGATACCTTAATGCAGGGATAATCGGTGCTCCAGGGTTGATGGCTCAGCCGCCCTGGTGAGTCTTCCAGAGAGACCACCACTCCTGGTACCCCTGCAGCTGCCAAGAGACCTCTTTCCAGGGTGGTGGCTGGGGGCCAAGAGCTCTGTCCCAAGACTTGGGAAGGTGCAGACCAGGCAGAGAACAGCTCAGGGTGAAGTTAGAAGTCCAGTTGTGCAGCACTAGGCCTCCCCTCCGTTCAGGGTCCTGTGATCCTATGCTGTCTGACCTATTTCGGGGGTGGGGGAGTTGTGGACCCCCTCTGACCATCTTCTGTCTTCCCTGTCCCCTCTGACTGCCCTCCACCCCTACTCCAGGCTGGCAGTACCTGCTGGCTTCCTGCTCGCCACCATCCTGGGGACAGCCTGCTTGGCCATCGCAAGCGGCATCTACCTGCTGGTGGGTAGCATCCTTGCAGTCAGCCTCAGCCTCAAGGCTGGTCCTGCAAGCTGAGCCCGTGTCCTGGCTTACATTGTGGGGACAGTGACAATGTGGCCTCCACATGTGGCCCATCTAACGTGCTAGCCACTCCCCTATATCCTCCTGTAACCCATGCCACAGCGCCTCAACAGGGGAGGGGGGTCCCCACTTTATAGACAAGCAGCAAAAGCTAGGAGAGAGGACATGTCTGGCCCGCCAGGCCCTGCTTGGATTGGGATCCATAGCTCAAAGTTTTCTATCCAGTTCAGGATGCTGCCAGGGGCACTTCCCCAGGACTCATGAGCCTGGCTGATGTCACAAGCCGCACGGGGCTGGGTTTGCCTGGAGTCCAGGTTATGCAAACGGCCCCTTAAGGCCATCTTTATAGCAGGGTGGGGAGGCTGGGAGGTGGGGAGGAGGGGGCATGGACGACAGTGGAACAGGGAGGGACGAGGATCCCTGTCAGGCACAGGTTGCTGAATGCCCGCTGTTCTCTGCATGCTGCCTGCCGACTGTCAGCCTGCTAAGCCATTGGTTCCAACCCAGCCACAGCCTCCAGCCTCCCAGAGTCAGTTTTGACTTGATTGTTCTACTAATTCCAACCCCGGGCACCCCCCTCATACAGCTGAGTTGCAGCTGAGTCCTTCTGTGCCGCTTGTTCGGATCTTTCCTCCATTTTTCTGTTGGGGTTTTGTCTTGTTAGTTTGCAGAAACCACTTGTGTGCTTTCATTGTGAACCCTTTGTAGGTTTTAGCTTTTAAGGATACTTGCTCTCTGTTAGGGATCCACCTTTGCCTATGGATTCTTCACTGAGCAGAACACAAGTTTGTCTTCTAAATTGTTTTTCTACTTTGTGTTTTTTCTGCTTTTTTTGTGCTTTTTTACCCCCTGCTGCCTGTCTGCTATATTTTCCTGCATTCTCTAACTTTCTAGTTTTAGCTTCTGGGATAGAGTGTTCTAGTCTTTAACTTAGGAGGTGTGATTATAGAACTTCTTTTCATTCTTATGCTTCATAAATTATATGCTGTCACTTTTTTTTAACTAATGGGATACAAAGTTAGAGATACACATTTCTAGGTCCACTTGGCCTGTGGCCATGGGGTAGGCCCAGGACTCTGCATTTCGGCAAGTTCACTGGGCTGCAATCTCCCCCCTCGACATGCCTGGGCCCCCAGCCTCCCACACTGCGCCTGCCACCCCACCCCCCACCCCCGCCCAGAGCTGCTGGCCTCGGTTCAGCATCATGCCCCTTAGGCCTGGGCTCCTGTCCTGCTCCCAGCCCTTAGTCCCTGGGAGGAAGTCTGGTCTTAGCCTCCAGGGGTCATTCAAAAGCCCCAGGGTTCCACTGTCCCCCTCTTGAGTCGTGTCTTCTGGCTGGTGAGACAGCTGGGTGCTGACCATGTGGCCTCAGGCCTGGCACATAACCTTTCTGAGCTACAGCCCCTCAGGTCTTGCTGAGTTCAGGCCTGTCCTGGACCCTGGCAGGGGTGGGGGCGCACAGGGATGGGTAGGGGGGCGGCCTGGGAGGACCCAGGCCCAGCCTGTCTATGTCCTGCAGGCGGCCATCCGTGGGGAGCAGTGGAGCCCCATCGAGCCCAAACCCAAGGAGCGGCCGCAGATTGGGGGCACCATCAAGCAGCCGCCCAGCAACCCTCCACCCCGGCCCCCGGCCGAGGCCCGCAAGAAGCCGAGTGAGGAGGAGGCGGCGGGGGTCTCCCCGGGTGGCCCCAAGGAAAACCCCATGCCAGTGACCGATGAGGTCGTGTGACCAGAACCTCAAGCCGCTCCGGCCCGCTGAAGCTTTGAAGGTCCTTCCTCCTGTGGGCAGGCCAGTGGGTGGGTGGGGGTATGTGGCGCCCAGCCAGGGATGCCCCCTTTCCTGCAACCTCCTTGGGGTTCCTCGACAGCAGGGCTGGGGTCTTGGTGCCTCGCCTGTTCCATGAATCATGTATCTGGAATTCCCTGTGTTTGTGTTTCTGCTCTGGAAATGAATGTCTCAGGTCTGGGGGGAGGGCCTGTGTTCCCCCAGACCCCCGATCTGCCAGGGCTCACCTGCTGGAGCACCCCTCGGGCCACCCTGGGGTCGATGTGCCACAGGTAGTGTGCCCACACAAGAACCTCCACCCGCTCTGGGTTGCAAAAACTGTTACCAAACCAAATGCAGGTCCCCTTACCCCCATGCAGCAAAGCCAACCTACTGACTTGGGTCGTGGTGAAGGAAAGGGCAGTGTTATCACAGGTGCTGAGCCAGGAGGCCAAGCAGCTCACACTCAGAACTCCAGCCCCCTCACGGCTTTCGGGGAAAGGTTTTTAAGGACAGTGAGGGAGGGTGGGGGTAATCAACAGACAAGAGACCCAAATTTGGTTCCATAACACACACACACACCACACATGTCCCCTGCTTACTCCCCCAGCACACCACACACCATACAAGCCATGGAAGGGGCCCCAAAGCTCATCAGCTCACACTTCAGCCTGGGAGGCCCTTCATTCCTGGATATCCAGTCCCCCAAAGTCTGGGAAAATCCTCCAATCACTGGCTTCCTGCTCTCACAGTTTCAGAATCGGGGTCTCTGGGACCTCTGACCTGGAGGGCACCCTGCCCATCAACCAACACTTTGTCTTCAGCATAAATCCAGTTGGCTCACCGTTCCCCATCCCCTGGCCACTTCCAGCGCTACCTGGGCCTGCCCAGTGCCCGGCTCAGAGCCCAGAGACTCACAGGAACACATGGCAGAACCCACCCCAGCCCCACCCCGTCACCCTGCCCACTGGCCTCCAGCCACTGGACCTCCCTTGACCTCCCAGATACAGCCTCTGCACGGGCCGCTCCCTCTGCTTGGAGCACAGGGCCCTGGGTGGCCACTCGGGTCATCCTCAGTTGGCCTCCACTGCAGTCCCTCTCTTCCTGATCTTTTCACCACCAACAGGCCAAGCGCTTTGCCTCGGGTCCTCTGGCAGCAAGTCACCCATAGGAGAGGCGGGCGGCTGAGCGTTTTGTCACTGCTCTGTTCCCAGAGCTGGGCATGTGGCCGAAACTCAGGGCGTTAAGTGCTGACTGAAGACTCCTTCCAGGCTCAAGACATAGGTCACCTCCTCCAGGAAACCTTCTCTAGACCCTCCTGCCTTCCTGGGCCTTACACACAGTAGGTGTCAGTCATCGGGTGAAAACAGCAGGGGGTTGCAGACAATCATCCTGCAGCCCTGCGGCCCAGCATCAGCCCTCGGAGCCAAGGTGCATCACCGGTAGCAGGGAGACTGAGACTCTAAAGGGGGGTCGTGACTGAGCCAGGGCGCTGAGGCTGTGTACTCAGCCTCTAAACTCACTGCCTGGAACATGCTCTGATCCAGAATATCCTGCTATGAGCGGGCGGGCAGTTCCCAGGTAGCTGACTGAGCTTGTTAGCTTGGCTGCCCCTCTCTGGCAGGTCACCTACAGTAGACAGAAGCCCTAGGGGGTGTCTAGAGTTTTCTTGTACCCTGTTGGGGCTGGGGGAGCATGACTCAGCCAGGTTAAAGACATGTCCCCCTGAGTTGACCACTTGCCCGGAAGTTACCCTAAGGACACCTGTCCGTGGGGTGGGGAGGGGGTCCCCAGGGACCACAGCCATGTCTGTGAATAGAGGGCTGGGCTTTGGGAGTGTGGCCCACTACCAGGCCCGGGAGCCACTGCTTATCCATCAGGGCACACCTGGACTCCTCTGTTGAAACCCACCCCGCCCTGGGTGCACCTGGGTTCATGCACAGATCTTTCTAGAAGGACACACCACACCAGTGACTGCCCCCTGGGCACCAGATGGGTATAGAGGGCCCGGCAGGGGTGAAAGTGAGAGAGGAGCTTCACCCACTGCTCTCTGCCATCCAGGTCTGTGTTCTGGGGGTGGTTTATCAAGTAAACAACATAGATTCACATGGAAAATAAATAGCTGTTTTAGAAACACAGGGGTACTTGTTCCTCCCAAGGGGCTGCGGTGAGGGGCGCCCAGGGGCCTGGAGGTGGAGGCAGCCATCAGAACACAGTTTCCCTTTTCTGTAGGTGTTTTAACAAGTCCTAGAACAGTGAAGATGTTCCTTCTAGCCCGGCTGTTTCTGTGAAAGGGTAAACTGTGTCTTTCGAGGTGGGGGCTGCCCGGCGCAGGCCCCCACCGCCCCCCTCCAGCCTTTTCTGGAGCCAGCCTTTCCTGGAGCCTTGTACCTGCCCAAGACCCCAGGGGCACATAAATAACCAATAAATACACATAAATAGGAGGGCCTCCCCGCAGGCCAGTTCAGGAGCCAAGTGGCAGTCACCGGGCTGACCTGGGCAGGACGCAGGTGCAGCCCACGGGCACGCGGATGAACTCAGCGTGGAAGGCGAAGGCCCCCGGTGTGGGCACCCCCGTGGTGTCCCGGGAGCAGGGCCGGCGGCGTAGCACCAGGAGGCTCTGGACCAGCGGCACCGAGTTGAGTGCAGCCGTCTCACGGCCCGTCTTGGCGCTGATACAGCCCCGGCACAGGCACTCGGCGAAGGCCAGCTTCTGCGGGTAGCGGCTCTCGTCAGTGTCCACACTGCGGGGAGAAGCAGGTGTCAGAGAGCCTGGAGGGCGCCTCCCTCCCTGCCCATGCTCCACGCCCACAAGCCATATGCACTCAGGGCCCAGGGCCTGCAGTGTGGGGTGCTGAGAGCACATGGCACACAGCTGGTGCCCAATTGAGTGCGAGTATGCACGTGCCCCATGGCCTCCCAGAGCATGGAAGCCTGCTCTCTCCCCACCTGTCCCAGTCTCACCCCTTCAAGGGCTCAGATAGGGGCCCCCAAATAACCCAGAGGACCCTGGTGTCCCAGGTCTGGGCTGCAATTGAGACATGGGGCGAGGATTGGCTCACGTGGAGCTTCACCCTTGCCCTCATGGAGCTGGAACGGCCAGCCACAGGTCATGGGAAGAGCGCCCAGGCCCCGGGAGCCAGCCCTCACCGGTATCTCCAGGGCGAGATGGAGCGCTGGTGGACGTCAGCTTCCAGCACCTCCCCTGGCTGCAGCACGGGGCACTGAGTCCCGGCCGGGACCCCTGCGCGCCTCCTCCTGCGGCCCACCGCCTCCAGGCTGGACACCAGGGCCACTGGCAATGCCTGCTCCCACTTGGCAGCTCGGGCCAGCAGGTGTGGGGGGGCGTGGCCCAGGGGCAGCTCCTCAGCGGAGTAGCAGTGCGGGGTCCCAGGGCTCTGGGAGTGGGGGTGGGCCCCCACCCGGAGTGAGGGGGCGTGGCGAGTCAGGCTGGCAGGAAGCCAGAGCAGAAGCAGGAGGCCAGGGAGGAGCTGGTGGAACAGGCAGTGGGTGGTCAGGGGTGGTCAGGGACGGGACCCTCCACTGCCACCCGTGGGCTCTGCTCCCGGTGGAAGGATGGGGTGGGGGAGGTGTAGCCTCCCTCTACAGCTGAGGGAACAGGAGGTCCAGAGGGGCCAGCCTCTCAGCCCAAGCTCGCCAGCGAACCTGGCATCCAGGATCCTGGCTCCCTTTGACCCTGAGATCTGATGGGTTTCCTGGACCCTACCCCCCACATCCTCAGCCTGGGGGTCAGTGAACCACCAGCCCTTCGGGGCCAGGTGGCCCCCTGCAGGTGGGGGTGCGGGGAGAGGAGCGTCTTACCATCGCAGCAGGGGCTGGGCTCTGGGCTCCCGGCTCCGAACGCGTCCCTGGTGGTTGACCTGGCGGCTGCTGGCCTGTGGCGCCCTTTATACCTGGGGCCACACCTGGGGAAAATCCGGCACCGCTTCCTCCTCGGGAAGTGCCTGGCTGCGCTTCCTCCTTCCCTCCCTGTGACCGTTCCCTCCCCCCACAGGGTGGGCCCACTTCCCTCCCTCCTCCGCCACCTCCACCTCTCCCCCATCCCTCCCCAGCGCCCCCCAGGGGGACCCTGCCTCGGGCCAAGCACTTGCAAATGTGGCTGAGAATGAAGGGTCTTGTCTGTGACACTCTTGAACCTTCTGTAAACTTGAGTCCTAGCCACCTGTATGTTTCTGTGGTTTGGACCTGGTGCCCTGGGGGCAGGGGGCTCCTTCATTTTGCGCTGCTGTCTAGTCCCCCACCAGGCTTGATTCTCATCCACTCCTCCTGCCAGAGGGGAGGTTCCAGAAGGAACAGGGGCTGGTGAGCATCTTCAGGTTTCTCTGTTGGGTTTTTGTGGTTTTATCAACAAAGTGTAAGTCTAAGCGTGAGGGGGTGATGATGCCCTGGAAACTTTAAGATGCAGGGTGCCCTAGGAAGCTTTCTAAGGAGGCCCCAGGAGCCCATCTGTAGCAACTCTGTGCAGCTGGCTGGGGGTGCTGGGGTGGGGGGCTTCGTTATCCTGGAAAGGAGACGGTTTGGAGCCAGATTCTGCAAAGTTTTGAATGCTAGGTTTGGATGCCATCCTGGGAGGGCCCGTCTGCCCTGGTCTCTGGAATCTATCTGTACCACATATCCAGCTGAGGAGGGCCTCGCTGTGGAGGATGGGGTCAGCTCTCCTGGTTTCCCACCTGCCCACAGGAGGCAGAATGTACACCATCAAGGCACCAGTCTGAGTTTGGAGGCCCAGACTCGGTGGATGGGAAGACCCCTGAGACAGCGCTGGGAGAGGCGGGGTAACACCTGGGCCCTCCCAGGGCCTCTACTGGGCAGTGCATGACTCTGGGCCTCCAGTCCACCCTCCCTCCCTGCCTTGATCTGGAGTAAACATTCCTGAAGCAGGCGCTGCTTCATAGCTGTTCTCCCGGCTTCTTCCCATTAAATGGATGGACACATTGAGTTCCCAGGCTGTTCCTGCCTACCACACCCCTGCCCATGGCCACCCACCTTCTGCTGATACACCTCCTGCAGTGGGGAGCTCACCACCTGTATTCATCACAACTGGGGGCCTTAAGAGAAGTGTCTTTTCTCAGGTTTGGAGGCCGGAAGCCCCAGGTCAGTGTAGGCAGGGCCTCTCTCCCAGCCCTGGTGGCTCCTGTGGTCCTTGGAGTTCTGTGGGTGCCTCTCTCCCCAGGTGTCTCTCCTTCTCCACGGCTTCCACACTCTCCAAATCCAGGAAGACATCATCAAGATCTCACCTTGACCACGGCTGCAGAGACCCTTTTCTCAGGCACATTCCTCACTGGCACTGGGGCTATTAGGACCTCAACATGGTTTTAGGGAAACAACAGAGCCCCTTATACCTTCCCCTGGGCCTGATGCTCAGGTTGAGAAAGACCCCGCCTTTCTGCAGGGTACTGGGACCTCAGAAATTCCAGTCCCTCCTGCCTGGGCCCCACGAGTGAGGGGAAGTGGTACCTGTGCCTGGCAACAGCCCCTGGGGAGAAGCCACCTGGAGACCGGGGAGGTGGCCCCAGCAGTGGCCTTGCCTTCAAGCGGCTGGGGTCTCCACACAGGGTCTTTGGAAGTGAAAGGCTGTAGAACTCGCTTGTGCAGTGGTCCCTACGCTGAGGGCTGAGCTCTGGCATTTTCTGTGTCTTTCTGAACAGCTGAGTGAGTGGGCGAGTCAGGGACAAGTCTTGAGGCCAGGCCATGTGCCTCCCTCACCGCTGCCCTGAGCTGTTCTGTGGGCACTGGCGGGCTGGTTGGGGTTGGGGTCGGGGTCCTGGGCACCAGCCGGAAAGACAGGGCGGGGCCCAGCAATGCCTCATTCCTGCGGGTGGCTGAGGCAAGCACACCAGTACCGGGTTGGGTAAGACTGGAAAGGTGGCTGCAGGAGGAAGGCCAGAGGGCATTGTGGAGATGTCCTGGATGGCTCCGCCCCCAGACCACTAAACCACACCCACCACATCTCTGTCCCCAGACTGCACCCACAGGTCCATGCTCCCAAGTCCCTGCCTGGAGAGATGCAGAAAGGGGATGGAGGGGGGACAGAGTGGGAAATGGAGGTATGGGAGGAGAGATGGAAGGAAATAGGCACAGAGGTCCAAGGAGACCCGGACAAATGCAGACGCTGAGGACAGAAGGCAGCAGAGAGAGAAAAAGATCCAGGGCAGGAGACACATGGACAGACTCAGCAGGGACAGTCCCTCTGTCCCTGCCCATGACTCGGAGCCCTTGCAGCCGTGGCTGGAATTGGGGAGGTGGCCTGCAGGACGGGTTTGCTCTAGGCTCTTGCAACTCCAGGCTCAAAGTTCTCCCCCATCTTATGGGGAGACCTAGGGGCAGACCTCAGTACCATCTGTAAAGTGGGGGTGGAAATCCCCTCCCCGTTCCCTCCTGTAGTGTGGCCTTCTTGACCACTGGGCCCAGGCAGCACTGCCCATGGTGAGTCTATGCCACAGTCCAGTTTTCTTGTGCTCCCCAAACTTTGCGCTGTCAGGAGCAATCTCTTTGCCTTGTCCTAGTCCATGGCCCTTCAGGGGCTGGCTGACCAGGGTGGGGGTCCCTGCTTGTGTACCCAGGGCTTGTGCCTCCTTTCAGCCCAACTCCTCCTGCCAATGGAGGCAGACTGCCGTCATCTGGGGTGTACAGGCCTGAGGGGCTGGGGTGCTGGTGGGACTGTCACAGGGGCTGCTGGACAGTTGGCACAAGGTGGGAGGGTGTGTCCGAGTCAGCGGTAGATGACAGCAGGGTCGTGGGGTGGCAGGCAGGTGTGACCCCCACCATGAGAAACCCGAGGGAACTTCACTGTTACTGAACTGAGCTGCCCCATTAGCTTGATGTGTTCACTCGTACGTTGGAGACTATACTTCACATTTGAGTTAGAAAAATTATAAACTAAAAACATGGTGTCTTCCTTTTCTTACCCTTTCAAGAGAAGAGAAGGCCTCACCTGAAGCTGGAGGTGGGACCCGTGGGGTGGGCTGGTGGGCAGAGGTCCTGAGGGCTGCTGCTCCTCATGGGTGGGGATGTGTAAATGAGACCTGACCCCCTCCCTGGAGAAGAGGAGGGTCAACATGAGAAAACTTAGAAGGCTGGGGTTTCAGTTTACCCTCCAGAGAGCCAGCTCGAAGATGGCACTCGGGCAGTGGACAAGGGAGGGGACGGAGCAGGCCTGGTCGGAGCTGCGAGCCTGGTCAGAGCTGCGAGAGGAAGTGTGGGGCGCAGCTGGGTCAGAGTTCCAGGAACAGGAAACAGTGTGTGCGAAGGCCCTGGGGTGGGAGGAACACTAGTGGGCAGGGAAGGCTCGGCAGTCTGCTGCAGAGGAGGAGGCTGGAGGGGCAGGGCCTGCCATGGAGGAGGAGGGCTGGAGGAGGGGCGGGAAGCAGAGCTTGGGCTTGAGGAACAGGTCGTGGCTCCCATCTTCGCAGGTGAACAGCCTGGCTGCACATTCCCTGGAGGGCAGAGATGCTGAGAACCCATTACACCACAGAGCCTCCCTTTTCCCAGATGCTTGGCCTGGAATGTTCTTTCCACTAGACCTGTGGGGGAGCTGGCTCTGGGTGTGCTCTCAGCCCTCCTGGGACAGGTCCCTGCCCCCAGGTGGCAGAGGGCAAGATGCCAGTTTAAACCCAGCCCCAGTCCAGGGACCCAAGGCCACAGGTCCAGCCCAGGCATGAAAGGTCGGGTCAGGCCAGCCCCTCGGCTGCATGGGGGCTCACTTGTGGACTCCTGGCTTCAGAGGTCATCACTGCCGGGCTGGCTGGTGGGGCCCAGCACCTGGGGCCCAGCGTGCAGAGCCAGGCTGTCACGGTGCTCTGCATTCCTGCCCCGTGTCCTCGAAGGCCGCCCATTTGGAGAATGGGAGTTCCCTCTGCACCTGGCTGTGACCTGATGGCAAACCAGATAAGACCTGAGAAATTACCCAGACACACGCCATGATGAGGTCGGTGGTGCAAGAGGCCTTACGTGTGCTGTGCTGCGGGGCCAGCACTGCGGATAGGCCACTGGAGGCCCCACGACGCTGGCTCCCGCCCGGCTCTCCTATCCCACATTTGAAGGGCCACACAGCCTTAGGGCAGAGGACGTGGTCACTGCACGCAGCTCCAGGGTCACGACCCCAGGCCAGAGCCCTAGGTGGCTCCTCCTGACACCCCCACAGCGAAGTTCTGGGACGTGAGTTGTCTGCCAGGACTCATGGGACTTGCTTTAAAGGTAGTCTTCTGAGGGCAGAGGCCTTGCTATCGGTCTGGGTAGGGGAACTCTCAGGCCCCTGGCAGCACTCTGCAAAGTCAACCCACAAGGGAGGGTCTCCCTCCAGTGGTCCTGGTCCTCTGGGAGGGGAGCAGGGGCTAAGCAGGGTGTGGTGGCGTTGCTGCCCTGCATTGGGATGGCAGCGTGGCCCCGCCAGGACGTCTCACACACAGACACCTGCATGTCTGCGTGGGGTCCAACCTTGTGTGAGGCACTCTGTGGAGAACTGGCTTGTAGGCTGGAGTATCTCTGGTCCAGGGCTCACCGGGAAGGTGGCCTCCGGTCCAGGCAGAGATGGCAGCCCTCAGGAAGCCCCGCTGGGCCAGCCAACCACAAGGAAACCAGGCGGGGGTGCCACGGGGCCGGGCTAGCAGCTCCGGGGGCATCTCGGTGGCCTCCTTCAGCCAGCGATGCCCAGTGGGCAACGCCAAGGGGAGGATGCAGGGGGGCTGGGCACAGGCAAACATCACCACCAGGGCAACAAAGCTGTTTATCAAAATATTTTATTTTAGGAGACCCCTCAAAAAAAGACCCTCCACATCTGACAGATGCCCAACAATACCCTCGGCCTGTTTTTTTTTTTTCAGTCTTTTCTGTTTTTTTTTTTTCCATTTTAAATCAACTAAAACAATTTGATGCTTAAAATAAGACAGGAGTATTTTCCAATCAGACTTCAGTCAAGAATATATATTTTTGATCCTGGGGACGGCGGGGTGGGGAAGACGCTCGGCAGCACTCAGTGTTCCTGGTTACAGAGGAGGGCGGAGCTGAGGACGCCTGCCAGAGCGGAGGGAGGACTCGTAACTGACATAAAATCGGAGCTGGTCCTCGCTGCCGCCACGCCCCCACCCACCTGGCTCGCAGGACTTCTGCTCTGGGAAGGGGTTGGTTCAGTTTGGGATTCAGCGTCATCTTCATTACATGTGTGGCTTCTTTTCCAGCTGAGAAACTTTTTTTTTCTTTTTTAATTTTTAAAAAGAATCACAGCCAAAATAAGACATAAACTGCAAAATCCAAAATGGCTGCGCTTACCCTATTTATAAAAACAGGTTAGTCCCTGCCTCGGGGAGCAGAGCCCGGGCTACACTTTCCCGGGGATCTTGGCCCGCTTGCGGGCGATGGCGTCCTCCACGGCCTTGAGCTGCTTCAGCAGCTCCTCCCGCCGTGACAGCGTGCTGGCCTTCCCTGACTTGGTGCCCGCGGCGGCGGTGGTGCTGGTGTCCGAGGCTTTGCCAGGCACGCTGGTGACCTTGCTGGAGCTCTTGGACTGGGGTGACAGCGGGCGCTTCCTGCAGGGGTGGGGAGGCCATCAGGGCTGCTCTCTGAGAGCCGCCTCCTGTCAGGGCCTGGGCCCCAGGAGCTGTACCTGCTAGGCAGAAGGCACCCCCTCCCCAGCGAACGAGGTTCCCACCACAGATGAGCGTCCGGGGCCCAGCTCGGGTTCTGGCCACAGTCAGCATGGCCCCCCGTGTGGAGCACATCTGGGAGGTGGTGGGCACAGCTCCGGGGCTCACCTGGAGCCCCCTGACCTGGTCGTCCCGCTCTGGTCCTCGCTGTGTGCCAAGGGCTGGGGGTGTGGGGCTGTGCCCATGCCCCTCCTGCCTGGCCCTCCACCCGAACTCGGGGTGCCGGTGCTCAGGGACTCAGCCTGTTTCCAGGGAAAAGGTGAGCCCCGCTCCCTCTTCTTGAGCCAAGTGGGAGGGAGGGAAGAGCTGCTGCCAACTGGCCCCTGGCCCTCCGGCCACAAGCCACGCGCTCACAGGCTGCTCTGTACTCTAGGACCCGCTGGGGGCCCAGGGTGAAAACACGGGCCAGCAAAACCTTCCCAGCACCTCTGAGACTGCCCTGAGCTAGTCCTGACAGCTCAGGCCTCCACCTGGGGAGGAAGCTCAGCTGGCCCTCTCTGCGGCCAAGAACCTGATATGCTGTACCCAGGGTGGGGGCAGGGGGGTTTGTGGGGAGACACTCACCTGTCTGTTGGGGCCGAGGGGGCCTTGGAATTCTGGCCCCTCTGCCGCTCTGGCTTTGGGGAATTGACTCTCCCACCTGACTTCCGGTCCCGAGAACCTGAGTGACAGGGGACAGCATAAGACCAGGGTCCCAGCTCCACGTGGGCCCAGCTGCACAGGGGCTAGTGGGTACAGGCAGGGAAGGGGCAACCTCTCTCTGGCCCCTGGTGACCCCACGCCAGAGAACGGCGGCCATTCAGCTCAGCTTCCTCATTCTCAAAAGTGCCCAGGTCTAATTTGGGTTTTGGTTTCCTGAACCACCATCAGCGTCATTCAAAACAAGGAGCTTCCAGTGTGCAAGGCCAAGCAGACCAAAACCGTCCTCCTCTGACTTGGAAGAAACTCAGTGCAGGTCAAGTGGGGAACAAAAAGACACGGCTGCTTACAGACCGCAAGCAAGACCAAGAACAGGAGTGCTTGCTGCCCTGTGAGTGTGGGCCCCGAGTGAGGGTGCACAGAGGGGTCCCACCACTTAAGAGGCATATGGGCAGCCTGGGGTGGGTGGGTGGGTGTATGTTTCAGGGGTGTGCCGTGTCCTCCTCCTGCTCCTGGTGGGGTGTGCTGGGCCCTCTCCTCCTATTTTAGGGGGAAGATGGCCGGGCAACACTTGGGGTTTCACTTTCCTAATGGAGCAAGCCAGGCACACCCTGCAGCACTGAGACGCCACCCCCTCACAAGCCCACAAGCTCATGGCCTCACAAGCCCACAAGCTCACAGCCTCACAAGCCCAGGTGGGGTTTCCTAGGTTGAGCAACTTGTGTGATAACAAGAGATGACCCCAGCTGTAAGGAGGTTGTGGGAAAAAACAAAACAAAAAAACAGTGCTACTCCTGATAGCTTCTGTTTCTGAAGACACATTTTCCATAAAAAAGTCTTCTTTGTGTTAAAACACAATATCTTATTACTGTCAAAGTATTACAGTTTTCACTTCTAAAATTGTAAATGCTGACAGATGCGGACCACCCGGTCAAAAGCCCCCTGGGGGCTTCAATACTTCTCAGGGCACACGAAGTGCAGCTCCAGAGGCAGAGGCTCACCTCGGTCCGGGGAGAGGTTGGCGCGCTTGGCTGGTGGTGGGCTCTGCCTGTCCTTGTCTGAGGGCTCGTAGCGCTTCCTGCTCCCCTTGTCAGCAGCCTGGAACAACAAGTGTGCAGTCAGGACCAAGGCCTGAGTGGACACAGGCAGCCACTTGCTCTCAGCTCCTGCGGGCCCTCCTCTGGGGCCCCTGCGCCACATGGCCCCAAGTGAGGCAGGGCCCATGGTCTCCGGGCCGCCATGCCAGGGATGGGATTCAGGCCCTCCAGTCCCCTGGGCACTGTGGCCGCCAACTCAGAGAGGCCACGTCTGTTCTGCCCCCCAACCCAGGTCCCAGGGCTGTCCTGTGGTAACTGGCTCCTCTCCCACTGTCAACCCCCTGCCCACGCGGCACGGCCCATGAGGCTGTCCATCAGGGCAGGACAAGCCAGGCGGTGTGGAGAGCTGCTACCTGGCCCAGCCATGGGTCTTGGGGCCCCAACAGCACTGCCCACAGCCCCACCTTGTTCAGCAGCGTCAACTTGATCTCCTTGTGGGCGATGAACGTGGCTGCTGGGGGCTGGCCTGGTGGCACCTGCTGGGGGGTGGTGGGCTGCTGGGAGGACCTGCCGCCCGCAGGGGTTCTTGAGGGTTTGGGCGGCTGTGTGGACGAGTCCCGTTTCCGCTTATCCACTTTCACACCATCTTCCTTCTTAGATTTTCCTGCCAAGGAAAAACGGCCTCTCATAGCCTCTCTTCCAGTGAGGCAGTTGCCTGCATGCTGTCTGGGGGAGGTGTCATCAGCCCACACCACCTCTCCTCTTGGGACCCCAAGGCCTGGCACACCTTGTGGGCACCTACCTTTCTCCTTCTTGGTCTGGGCTGGGGTGGGCGACCGCGAGCTAGCCGAGGACACGGGGCTGGCCAGGTCTGCGTACATGTCATCCGAGTCCACGCTGTGCGCTGAGCTGCTGCTCGACGTGGCGCTGGACACTGAGGACACGCTGCTCACGCTCAGTGATCTGCACAGACAGACATGTCTGTGCCCACACGGCCCTGAACCCCAGGGAAGGGGAACCCCCCAGCCTGAGGCTTTAGGGGCTCTGGACAGTTTACAGGTGACACCCAGTGAGGGGACACCTGCAAGGCCGGGGCCAGGCCCTCGTGCTCATGGTTCCCGCACTGTTAGCTGGGCAGGGATGCACAACTGCATGTGACCAACACACAACAGAGGGCGGGGATGGGCTGCAGGACGAGCAGACACTGCGTCAGAGACGCCCCAAGGGGCCGGCTCAGGAGGCTTGAGACACAGATGGTCTCCTCGGTCCAGTCCGGTCACAGCCCAGGCTACACAAGGGCTCCGCTCTCTGAGAAAACTGCCAGCCCCACGTCCCGAGCTCCAGCAGGGAAGGCAAGAGGCAGCCTTTCATACGTATTATTTCTGGCAGTGCTGTGTCTTCGGGCTTTCTCTAGTGGTGCACAGGTTCAGTTGCCCCGTGTCCCCTGTGCTGATGGGCAGGTTCCTAACCACTGCACCACCAGGGAAGCCCAGAGCCCAGCCTTCTTGAAAGGTTAGGTATTTAATAGACCACAGACCTACTCAGAGTCAGGCAAATGTGTATACCACCTGCTGCTTACAAGTGAAAGAGAAAACTGAATTCAAGGACTCTCAGGACTGACCTGATACCATCTTTTTAAACTAAATGGCAGAATTCTCTTCTGTTTGTTCCTGTCTCAGATCTTTTCAATAGGCCATCCCCCAGCTGCCTCGGCCTGCTTGTTCTTCTTGCCTAAGCTCTGCGGAGTGGCAGGGCCAGCCCAAGCGAGGGGCCGTGTGCACCCGAGGTGGCCTCTGCGGGGTTTCCTGGACCCTGACCGTGGGCAGAAGCTGCGGGACAGGACGGGGGAAGGACAGACATGACAATGACCTGGATCTGGAACTGGAGCCACTGTAGCTGCTGCCGCTGCCACTGCCGCTAACTGTGCGCCTGCAACACAACCAAGAGGCCACAGCTCACGTTTCTGGGGCCTCAACACACGGGCGCCCCCAAAGCCAGGGCTCGCTGGTCCAAGACCAACAATCCACCAGGGACTGGCCACCGAAATCAGGTGGGGCTCGGATTTCTTCTATAGAGGACTCCCCCCAAAAGTGAGTCAACCACACCCCCACCAGCCCCCACTCCCCTGCCACCACCAGGAGGGGACTTTGCCGTCGAGCTCCTAGGACACCAAGGCTGGGGGCCATGCCGAGTCCCTGGGAGCACCCCTCCCCTAGCTCTGGAAGGTGGTACACTCACCTCCTGGGGGGGCTCCTGGCCTGCCGCTCCCTCCTCCTGGCTTCCCGAGGGTCTCCGCCAGGCTTGGTGGGCTCAGGGGCAGTGGTGGCGGTTTTGGGGGCCTGCGGTAGGGCTGGAGGAGGGGCTGGCTTCTTCAGCAGCTTCTCTCTGTCATGTGGGACACAGGGAGCTCAGACGCACCTGGGCAGGCCTAAGCCCTGCAGGCCAACCTCGGGGCATGGGCACCACACACACACACACACACACACACACACACACCACATGCACTTCACACACACCCACACACCACACGCACTTCACACACACACACCACACACACACACACACCACATGCACTTCACACACACCCACACACCACACGCACTTCACACACACACACCACACACACACACACCACATGCACTTCACACACACACACACACACACACACACGTCCCCTGTGCCCTGACCTGAGGCACTGTTTCCTGCAGACCCCACCCCACACCAAGCATCACCCTGCCTCCTCCTCAAAGGCAGGAGAGGGAGGAAGATGGGGCCATCAGGAAAGCTCTGGAGGAGAGCCCACGAGCCAGGCCACACTGCTTCAGTAATGGCACCCTGACCCCTGCCCTGCATGGCGGGGGCGGCGGCCCTTGGGGAAGGCTGGATGTGCTCGTGAGTGGGGACCTTAGGCAGGTGGGAAAATGGCCCCAAAGTAGTTCTTCACTGTTGCGTGGGGAAGACACCCTGCTAGTGTCGAGCACCCTGAACATGCACGGGACTGATGGGCCACAGAGCAAACCCGCCAGTGGGACACAGCGTTTGGGTTACAGGCAGCTGCCCAGCACGGCAGCAGGACTGAGTCCACATGCAGACCCCATCTGTGAGGCTCAGGGCCGGGGCCCGGCACTGCGGTGGGGTCCCCTGTCTGGGGCCCCAATGGAGAAGAGATGCGGCCCGTGGCCTGAGGTCCACGCCCAGGAATCGAAAGGCCAGGCTTGCCCCTCTTCCCCAGGGCCCGTTGGCAGCACTCACCCTGCTTTCGTGGGAGGCGGAGCTGGCTCCCCCTTGGCTCTGGCAGGTCTGTGTGGGGAGGGCGTCGGGGATGGCGATGGGGACGACGAGAAGGACCGGGACCTGGCGGGGAGCAGAGGTGTGAGGAGGGCACCCCACCATCCACACCCCGAGGGGCAACTGCTCAGCCTGGGGTGGCTCTTGGTCATTTCCTAAAATGCACCTCTGGGGAAAAACAGACGCTGGGGGCACGCAGCACCCCAATCAGCTGTCACAGGGGAGCTGGCGGGGAGGCCGCCGAGCATGGGACTCTCGGACACAGCATGGGGGAACGGTCAGTAGTGAAGAAACTGCCCCTGACCTTGTGAGAACAGCTCAGACACAGGGCTCTGTCGTGGGTTCAGCATCACCCACTGCTCACACAGGGCCGGCTGCGGGTGAGCCCCACACCCTGGGATCGCCAGAACCCCCAGGTTCCTCAGCTGGGTTCCATGTTTCTCCCCACAGCTCACCTGGACCGGCTGCCTGAGAACGAGCTGTGCCTGGAGGACCGGCTGGAGTAGGAGCTGTAGGACGAGGAGCGAGACCGGGAACGGGATGAGCCGGAGCCGGAATAGGATGACGACCGTGAGGAGGACCTGGCCCGGGGAGAGCAGAGATGAGGCATCTTCCCCCGCACCACTCACACAGACGCGCCCCCACAATCAGACACTCCGCCCTTGGGGCACCTCATAGACGCTCTGAAGTCCAGCCCCCTTCTCATGGGAGAGGTGCTCAGAACCTCTAGGTGCCGGGTACACTCACAGTCAAGAGTGACACAGCTCCCAGGCCCTCGGGCAGAGCCAGGACACATGCTCATGCATGCTGATGAACCAGCCTGACTCAGGCAGACACACACGTGTGTATCTGTGTGTCCACCAGGGCAGGTAGTGGAAATACTGAGTCCACAGACACTTCCAGCCTCCTCCCTCTTCAGGGAGCGCCCCCACTCTCACTGCCCATAGCGTCCTCACTTGTTTGGGAGACCTGTTGCACACACACATCTCAGAGCTGCCGACCTGAGCTCGCAGGAGACAGGTGAACTGACTGGACACCAGGTCAGGCTGCTCCTGGCTCTTCTGCCAGCAGTGCCTCTTCCCTCGCTGACCCTTGCCCAGGCCTGTGCTCTGCTCTGGGCTGCCTGCACCCTGGTTCACCTCACCATTTATTCTGGGGTTCATGGAGGCCTTGCCTTGGTGCTAAGTGTCAGTCCTGTTAGCCAGTGATGCTCTAGAACCCAGCCTTGCTGAGGAGACACAGTCCTGCTGACCTCCCTTACCTGGAGGAATTGGAGGCAGAGGCCGACGAGGCTGATGTTTTTCGACGCCGTCTAGCACGGCTCGGAGAGACCGACACCCCGAGTTTCTTCTTCGGAGACTTGGACCGGCGCCAGGGGTCCTTCCACTCGTCGGCTCTCTTCACCTGGGGTCCTGTGGATGCCGTCTCCTTCTTTGGTGGCTCAGCTTGACGGCTGAAATCACAGAGGGGTTAATAAGTCTGGGGCCACCTCCCACCAGACAACTCTGCCATTTGGTGAAAGAAAATGTGTGGGAGGAGAGACTATGACCTAACAGCTCACTCCAGGGATGCCACACACACAAGGCAGCAGACACTGGCAATGGGAGACCTCCCCTGGAACTGGACATGCAGGGCTCTCTCCACGAGCGCTGTCTCACAGAGCCACGGGGGAGCTGGCCACCCAGCAGTGCCCTCGGAATCCCCACCCTGCCCACCACACAGGTGCTGGGCGGGGCGCGAGGAAGGGGCCTGTGTGTGTGTGCCGTAGAGCTGGGCGCATGGTGGCAGCACCACCAGCATTTAGGATGCTAACATGATTGAAGAAATCCTGGTTTCCAAGTGAGTTAGAAACTCTAAGTATAAACCTAAGCCCTAGATACTTCCTTTGTTCTCAGGCAGGGCAAGTCAACAGTGTGAGGGATGTGTGTCCAGACCAAACGCTAGCAGGTCAGAACAACCCACCCCCACCACAGGTCACCACCAGTCAGAAACACACACGGCTGAACCTCCCAGGAGGGTGGGATCACAGCTGGGTCCTGAGGGTGTGAACGGGGTGGGGGGGGGGGCGGCAGCTCGGCAGGGCAACACCGAGAACACAGGGTCCCAGGCCTACAGCAGTTCAATGCCAAGGTACCTGCTGGCCTTGTTGACACGTCGATCAGATAAAAATCACAGAAAGTGAAGCAGGGCAATAACCCCTGTCATCCAGCTCTCCTGGCACAGCCGCTCCTAGCATGTCCGAGTGTCCCCTTTGCCCATGTTCATTCTCCACCAGGGACCCTGCAGGTACGGCCAGGGCTGCTCGGGGACTGCCCCGCCTGGAGTGGCCCTCCCTGACCATGGACAGCAGTGCTTCACTGTCAGGTGTTACATAATCTGAATGTTTCTCTGTTAGCTATTTCTGTGTTTAAAAAACACAAACGATAAAAATCACCCTTTCTATTGAGTCTTTATGAACATTTTGTCTTTTCAAGGGTAAATTTTTAAGATGTGGAATCAGTGGGCCAAAAGAGGCAACCCTTTAACAGGTTCTTGCTAAGTTGTCAAATATCTTCCCTGGAAGTGAAAGCATTTCACACTGGGCTCAGCATGGTGCCTGCCACACTCCCTGCCCAAGCGAGCCTGGGGTCCTGTGTCACCAGGTGCACCACAACACCCAGAGAGCCCTGCGCACAGCCAGTGCTTCTGGGAGGCCGCCTGGGGGTTTCAGCTATGCCCGTGCTTGGCCAGTTTTCCGGGCAGTTCCTGGGGTATGACGATGGGAACCCTCCGCTGGCAGGTGTTTTCCCAGGCTACTGGCTTCCACTCACTGGTGACTTGCTCCAAGTGTTAATAGCTTCGTTCAGGCTTACAGAGCCACCTCCACCTGAGCCCACAGGCCGGGAACCTACTTCCCCTCCAGAAGGTGTGGGCGATGCCATCTCCAGGCACAGATTCTTCCTCAGAGGGGCTGTGCTCCCTCATTCATCTGCCTTTTCTTATTTCAGAATCTGATCTGCACACAAGACCACATCACAACAATTCCAGACATGCTAATTCTCAGAGGCCTCTGGAGTGTCCTGCCTGTTTACCTAGAGAACAACTGTAGCAGCACTGTCAGCCCTGCCTGACCCACTGGGCTCTGGATCAGAACCACGTCGGACGTATGAACAGGGTCCTGACATTTATCCCCACTTTCCGTGAGTGTCAGCAAAACATCAGTTTTATTTACACAACATAAAACAATCACCACCTGCTGATATCTTCAGAACTTTTCAGTCAGTCTATCCACCAATGAGCAGACTCCATACTGACCATCTGCTAAGAGCCCCCACCAGCAACAACATCCAGCATTTAAAACTGCCCCAGGGACACAATGAACGGAGGCATGAGACCCTGTAACTCGGCCCCCACACGCTGAGCCACTGCCCTGCTGGTTCCCAGCGTGTCCTCCTGGAAGTGTGTCCTCCTGGAAGTGAAACCCGCGTGCTGACTTGTGCCAGTCCCAGGCCATCCCAGGCTGCTTTCACCTTTACACTTCCTGTGTTGTTCTCATTTTGAAAAGACAACAGGAAAGGGAACACCTTGGTCACAGGTATTTTCATGAGTCATCAAAATGGCCCAGCAGTGTCAACCTGTGGCTCTTCCAATATAGGGAGAGAGAAACAGCTGGGCACCAAGGGCGTGCGTGATTCACACTGGAGCCATGTGAGTACTGAGGGCTGTGCGTCAGCAATGGGGAAGCAGAATGCTGGATCCTCTCCCCTCGCGGCACACAGCACCTGTGGCCAGACAGGTGGCTGCGCAGCCCCCCAACCTCTGAAAGGCAAGGCTTCCTCACTCTGGCTGCAGTAAGATGGTCTGGCTGTCTTATGAGCACCAGAACCAGGCCTGGAGGTGTCCCTCGAGCCCCACATTCTCCAGCTAGTGTCGTGGACGGGCCAGAGCAGGCCCTGCACTGACTGAGCTGAAGGGCAGCGCCACCTTCTTTCAGCTCGACAACAACCCCAGGACATGCGGGAACCCATCCTGCAAGTCTGCCCATGTTCCCCAAAATGTGGGAGACTGGGCTCCTGACTTTAATTAGTTTGAAGAAAACTATTTTTATTTTTTACTTTGTTTCTACAGTGACTCACCAGGACAAGTGATCGGTGTCTGTTACATGTTAAAGGTGTAAAATTTCCTTTTAAAATGTATTTAAGTTTAAAAGGTGGAAGTTTTTTTTTAACCCCATGAAGGTTTTTTGATCACACCACGCAATATGTGGGGTCTCAGTACCCCAGTGAGGGGCTGAACCTGGGTGCTGGGTGGTGAGAGCTCGGACTCTTAATGACTGGGCTACCAGGGAACTTTTGGAAAATATCTTAAAATATGAATGAATAGAGCAGGTGGTACCTGGATACAGAAAATCACGCAGGTGGAACACCTGTGGGACAGGGCACTTTGCAGATCAAAGTGGGGCGGGAATGAGCCAGCTGGGCACCAAATGGCTTCCCCCGATTGGGGTCTCAATCCAGGAAGAAGTGGTTTCAGACCTGGATACAAACTGTAAGCAACCATTTTAAAGACAGATGTTTTGGGAAGAAGGACTGGATGAACAATCAAGAGAGTTCATTCACAATGCTGTCTGGGGAAGCTGTCCCTAGACGACTGGGGAAGAGCAGGGACACCAGGCATGTCAGCTATCAGTCAGGCTTTGGGGAGCAGGGACAGAGCACGGGGCCGAGTTGGCACCCCGACATGCAGCCACGGCCTGGGCTGTCCTGCTCTCCGACTACACCGAGGAGAGCGGAAAGAGACCCGGGAAACCAGGCAGTCGGAAGAGCAACTACACGGGAACCAAGACGGCAGGCTACCCGCTGACAGGAAGCTGGGGCCACACGGGAGGAAAGCTGCGTGAGCAGGGACAGCTGGGAGAAGGACGCCGTCAGCCGTGCTGGCACTGAGAGCGGACAGAACAGACTTGGCATTTGCATAAACCCTCTGAACAGAGAGGGGAAAACACCTTCCCATAATCTCTGGGCAGCCCTCCCCCGCGGCCAAAGCCACGAGCAATCTTATCTGCCAGGCTCCTGAGCCTTTGTTCAAGGCCACACAAGAGGGACACTGAGGAGCAAAGGTCACAAGAAAGGGCCTGAGTCCCCTCGAGACACCAGGGCAGAGGTGTGAGGTACGGCAGCCACAGTGGGGGTGCCTGCAAACCCCTGAGCAGCGGCCTAGCCTGGGGTCAAAGGCAAGAAAAGATGAAAAGGAGGGAGGTTCTCTTTTAAGATGGAAGGGTGATGAGCTTGGAGAGACGCACAGACAGGGAATGGGCAGCATGTCAGTGGGTTTACCCGCTGCACTCGCTCACACCTCCCATGGGCCCTTCCCCACGAGCTGCTCACCTCTGAACTCTGGACAAGGTCACCCTGGGTCCCTGCGGACGTGGAGCTGGCTCCCAGGATGCCAAGAGCCTGAACAACCTGCCCAGCAGCCCTCTTCCAGGCCAGCGGCTCCCAGGGAGCCATGCACAGATGAGCAGGGAGTGAACAGGCCCCCCGACTTCCCCCGCAGGGGCCTGGGAAGGTGAGGGTGGTTCCCAGGGAGGGGCATCTGGGATCACAGACCCATCGCTTTATTCCTCAGACTTGAAAACAAATTTTGACTCCACCGTGAGGCTGGACTTTTAATTTCTGGGTGGGTTCACGAAGACTGTTTCCACAGCGAGGCCCATCGTTCCCAAGGCCATTAATGCTGAGGAGCAGCATTAGTCTGGGGTGGCCCTGACCCAGCGCGTTCCCATCGTGGAGCGTAGCCATAGCCTGACTGCTCTCGTGACCTTGTGCATTGATGCAGTTCCCACCAAGGCCACTTGTGGGCACTTGGGTCAGAACTCGAGAGAGACCACAAGTCTCTCCATTTTGGGACAAGCTCTGTAACTCTGTGTGTCAGTCAAGAAGTTAGAACACAGGATCCACACAGGATCCACTTTTCCTCGAGAATGCCCTGGGCACAACTTTCCCAGAGGAGGAAATAAGCCATGACCAGGAAAGACTGGAATGAGATGAGAAAGATAAACAAGGTTCCTTAGCTCCCAGGGAGCGTGTTTCCTGCTAGCAGAAAGTCCAAGCTGGGATCTAACTCCTTAAGTGCAAGGATGGAGCCAGTGAGGAACGGGAGGCCCTTGTGGCCTGGCCAGCATGGCAGCTGTCTGGGTGTGAGCACCTGGAACCCTCGGGGTTATTTAGCAAAGGCGGGTAACACCGCTATGGGATCCCATGAATTCCACAAGACAGACAGATGGCATTGAAGGTGGAGCTGCTATGGCAAGAGGTGAGGTGCTCGAGGAAACAGGGAGGGAAAAAGCCACCGAAAGCAGAAGGTGACCTAAAGTGTCCCACGGAAGAGTCAGAGGAGACCCGAGCGGCCATCACCCTTGGTCCAAGCACCAGTCCGAGCCAGACAAAGTGCGCGGGCAGTGACACAGCCATGGCTTGGTCAGCCTAACAGTAACCTCCGTGCTCCCAGGGTCTCGAGATTCCTGGGTGGGTGCACTTGAGCAGGTCACCTCCCTGGCATCCAGGTGACAGTCGCCAGGCTGCGGGGAGTGTGAGGAAGTGGGAACAGCACTGCCCCATGAAGAACCCTGGTCCCTAGAGATGAGAAGCTGGCCATTTCAACCCCAAGGGGCCCCAAACCTCTCACTGTGCTCGAATGCTCAGTAAACAGCTTTGAAGATAACAGGCAATCTGGGCGAGTCCTCGGGAAGGTCCCGGTTACTATTTGTGTCTGGAATGACATTCATCCGCATGTTTGAGAACATCCTTTCTGCGGCGCCCTACCCACAAAGCACGCCCGCTGGCCTGGCTGTACACACTGGGAGGAGGTTTCATGGAAGTGCTCCTCCGTCACAGCGATTCTCTCACAGAACTGGCTACAGGCTTCGCTCTAAAAACAACCCAGTTATAGAAGTGGGCAAGATGTCTGGAAAGGCCCAATCATGAAGGTAAGCCTCAGTGAAGGCAGGGGTGTTGACTCCAAACGAACAACATGGGGGCTGGCCCAGAGGCCTGCAGAAGTGCCAACAGGTGGTCTCTGTGGCAGCCGCTCCACAGGAGGCAGCTTGGGCAGGTTAGGGGTGGGTATGAGAGGGACCCAGGCCTGGCAGAGCCAGGACCCACCATCCTGTGTGCTACTAGCCCCCTCCCGGCCACAAGCTGGGTTTTGGGAGCTCTCGCTGGTAGTGGATGTAAGGGAAGATCCAGCACCACGCTCAATAGCATCCCCTACTCCCACGTGTGGGACCTTCCCCAACAGATGCCGCCCCGTCCAGAACCCACACGTGGCGGAAAAAGCTATGCCTATTTCCTCTCTCAGGTGTATGCATGCTGCATGCTCAGTCATGTCCAACTCTCTGTGACCCCATGAGCTGTAGCCCACCAGGTTCCTCTGTCCATGGGATCTCCAGGCAAGAACACCAGAGTGGCGTGCCATTTCCTCCTCCAAGGGATCTTCCCGACCCAGGGATCAAACCCGAATCTCTCGCATCTCCTGCGTGGGCAGGCAGATTCTTTACCACTGTGCAAGCTGGGAAGCCACCACGTTCTCTCCATCCAGCTGCTGATGAAAAATTCCCAACCCGATAGAGGCTAAGTAAACAAACTCTCCCATAAAAGGGAGGTTAGGTAAAGGAATTACGGCAGGGAGCCTGGCCACCTCCTGACGCAGTGGTCACACCAGCTTGGGCTGATCAAAGGAAAGGAAACAGGAGGCCGTGTTGGAAATTCTGCTCTGGTGAAACCCCACCCTTCAAGTTGGTGGCAGGGCTGGCGGGGCCCCAGCCAGGGCAATCAAAGATGAAATTCAAGACTCCGAAGACCAGTGAGCCAGGCTGAACTGAGGCAGACTGACGGAATATGCCCCTCTGCTGAGGGCAGAGAGGGGTCCGCAGGGGAAGAACTGAGCCCAAAGAAGGGAAGTGAACCAGGTCAGAGGCTGGCAGCAGAGCACACCAGTCCACGACAAAAGCTGCCTCTGACTTCAGGAGGAATTCACAAAGTTCCCCGAACCCTGACCCTCTAGTTCAGCTGTGCTGTTGCTGAGCCCTTCCTCATAGGAGCCCCTGTGGCTGTGCAGACATCAGACCTGGCGGCTGCTCACAGTGCTCCGCTGCTGGGGGCCAGGCCAAGACTTGCCACTGCCTTCAAGAAACCCTCCTTGTGGGTCTGACTTCCCCAGGCTTCCCCATAGAGAGTGAACACAGGCATCTGTCCATGAGCTACAGGTAGTCCCTGACTTAGGATGGCTAGACTTTTACAACAGTAGAAAGTGGCATGCCTTCAGGAGAAGCTGTGCTTTGAATTTTGCATTTTGATCTTTACTGGGCAGTGAGCCACAGCTCTGTCACCCACATGACCACAGGGCAGACGAGCAATACACCAAACAGCTCTTCTGGAACCAGGAAACCCTTCAGCTTTCCACTTTAGTACAACTTTCCATAAATTCCATGAAAGATTCCACACTTTACACTGTTCAGTAGATCAGATGCATTTTCTGATGGGTCATTCTAGACAAGACTTCTCCTAAGTTGGGTAGGCCCTGGGGTCACACACAGACTAACTACTGGCGCCCCCCTGTGCCGGGCCCTGAGACTGCAGTGCCCTGTCCGGGTTCCACTCTACAAAGACCGCAGAGGACAATAGATAAGCAAGTACAATGAAGTCAGGAGGAGACTAGAGGTGTTAAGAACAATAAATAAAGCTGGAATGCGGTGGGGCGGGGGGTTGATCTCTCTGAGTAGCAGGTAAAGCCCAGAGGCAGGGGAATGGCAGAGCAATGATTGAGGTGAGCCAAGAAGAGGCAGAGGCCCGCCAGCGGTATGGACAGAAGGCAAAGTGTCTACCAAAAAGGGGCTTCAAAGGGCCCCACAACAGAAAAATTGAAGAAGGAAGTCTTTCAATGCATCTAAAATATGATTTACTCTGATTGTTCTTAAAGTATATCACTTTGCCCAATATTAGGAAAAAACAGAGCAAATTCAGGGAGGTCAGTTCACTGTCACCTAGAGGATGAGTATAGAACCCACATTTAACAAAAGACAAGAATGAAAGACTATATGGTTCTGACGTTTACTTTCAGAAACACAAGACAGGACTCTGCTCAATGGCAAGGACAGGAATCAGGGATATGAGTCTGGCTTTTCCACCAAAAACTGTTAGAAATAATGAACAAGATTCAGTGCAAATGCAGGATACAAAATCAACGTATAAAAACCAGTTGTGTTTTTATATACTAACAACGAAGTACATAAAAAAGAAATAATCCTATTTATAATATAAAATAATAAAATACTTAGGAATGAATTAACAAAGGTGGTGAGAGATCTGTACACTGAAAATCACAAGACACTGATGAAGGGACCTGAAGAAGACAGAAAACACTGAAACACACACCAGGCTCACCAATTAGAAAACACGGTTACACCGTCTGTGCCGCCCACACCAACCTACAGATACACTGCAGGCCTAACCAAAGTTCCAACGGCACTTTTCATACAACAGAAGAAACAACCTACAGTTTTGTACAGCACCACAAAGGACTCCGAATAGCCGAAGCAATCCTGAGAAAGAACAGAGCAGGAGGCACCACAGCTCCTGATTAAAGCTGTGCTAAAAGCTGCAGTAATCAAAGCAGTGTGGCATTGGTGTCAAAACAGAAGCACACATGTGAGCGGGAGACAGAGGCCAGAAACAAAGCCCTGCACACCCAGGCAACTAATATTTGCCAAGGGAGTCGAAAACACTCAATGGGGAAAACTGGACAATCACATGCAAAAGAATGAAATTAGACCCTATCTTCAACCACTAATAAAAGCTACCTTGAAATGGATTAAAAAACTTACATGTGAGATGGGAAACCACACAACTCTTAGAAGAAATCAGAGCAAAAGCTTCATGATGTAGGTCTTAACAATGTTAGATACGACATCTAAAGCATAAACAGCAATCGCAAAAATAAACCTGTGGGACTGCATCTAACCAGAAAGCTTCTTCACAACCAAAGGAGCGATCCACACAGTGCGGGCAGGTCCTCCATCTGGGCGCGCAGCACGGCTCCCCGGAGAGCAGCACGGGGTGGTGGTGGTGGGGGGGTGGGGGGTGGGCAGGGCCGCTGCCCCTCCCGCAGCCCTCCCGCTCCCAGGCTCCAGACGGCGCGGTTCCTACCTGGGTGGCTGCGGGGAGCGGGCCTTGGGCTTCTCCTTGTCCTTCTCGCGCTCCTTGTCGCGATCGCGGTGCTGCCTGTCCTTCTCGTCCCGCTTGGCGCGCTCGCGCTCCCACTCCTCCTTCCGCCGCTGCCGCTCCTTGTCCCTTTCGCGCTCCCGCTCGCGCTCACGCTCCCGCTGGCGCCGCTCCCGCTCCCGGTCCCGCTCGCGCTCCCGCTCCCGCTCGCGCTGTCTGTTCTCCCGCTCCCGTTCTCGCTCCCTTTCCTTCGTGGAAAAGCCAAACACACGCACAGGCGGGATCAGACCCTCAGAAGGGGAGGCGCGGGCGGGACGCCAGAGCAGGCGGAGGAGACAGAACACCTGGGTGGGGGTCTCATTTCTGCACCGGAAATGGACTTGAGGCCACATGGGGGAGGGGGGGGCGCAGAGCAGGCTCTCCAACATCAGCACCACGCCTGTGGGCCTGGCAGGCCTCCCGGACCTCAGCTCCTGCCTCGGGAGGTAGACACCAAGGCTGTGCACAGGCAGCCCGGCCTGGGGCTCAGGGCACCCCAGCAGGTCCCACACCCTCTGAGGCTGCCCTGGCTGGCACCAGGCACCTGCAGCCCTGCGGCCTGGCCCCAGTGAGTGAGGAGTCTGCTCTAACTGCCCGGAGAAGGGGCACAGCAGGGCCAGCAGCCAGGTCCTCTTCTCGCCACAGGCTCACCATCTGATGTGGTCCCCAGCCAGTCACTCCCCTCTGGCCCTAAAAACTCACGACTATCACTTAAGCTGTGGCACAGAAACCACTAACCTACCTCTAACGACCTCTTCCAAGCTGCAGCTTCACATCAGAAGCACAGGGTCAGGGGCTCAGAGGGTGAAGCACATATATTCATAAACCTACCACATCTCAGAGAAGTGCCAACAGGAATGGCCACGACCTGCCAAGGGTGGTCCTGAGCCGGAGAGAGGCACAGCCCCTGCCGCTGGCACTGCTCACCCACCCCGCGGCTCTGGGGAAAACAGAGCCAGAACATAGACCAGCTCAGAGAAGGAGCTGTTCAAGTCACCACAAGGTCAGTCCCCGGACCAGAATCCGTTCTCCACAGATGGTCAACTGGGACTTGAAATCAGTACACCATGCTCACACAATTAAGCTTTTATAAAGTCCTATAAATAAAAACGGGGTGATTTAAAGGGTCCACCAGTGAAGTTCCAACCTACATACCCGGTAGTTATGGTACGGCTCGGCCTCTGTGTACTGCACCCGGAAGTTCTCATACTGCCCGCCACGCCAGAAGCGCTCTATCTCATAGTCGTAATAAGGGTCTGCGTAAGGCTCAAGTCTGAAAAAGAGCAAGTAAAAGTCAAGCTTATCACTTAGGAACATTAATGCAAATACATTACATAAAATATCTGCCAAGATTTAGACACCACATTAAAAAAAAAAAAACGAGACTGCAAGGCTGAGTCAATATTAGAAACTGAATATACTAAACAAAATCACAGACCTACAGAGAAATCAAAGGATAACACCTACAGATGGCGAAAACATTTGTGATAAAAACCCAACCCCTTCCCAATGAGAGGAGGAAATGACACTTTCTTAATGTGATAGATACTGATGTTTATACACTTCAGAGCTAAAGCCAGCACCTTATTCGCTGGGAACAGGGAGGTGTTCCCGTTAAGATCCCAATGGGCAAGAAAGCCCAGTGCCTCTGAGATAACCCACACTGTGCTGGGGGCACTGCCGCAACCAGACTCCAGGAGCCCCCAAGCCACCTCAATGTGCAAATTAAATGACATCATATGTGAAAGCCATGACATGGTGAAGTCAATTCAAGTGGTAAGAAGAGCCCAGTAAGGCACATAGATAATTCTAGATAATAACCAGTGAAGAGGGTAGAGAAAACCCCACTTAACCAGCAAGAAAGAAGGAAACATACTGAGGAACAAGGTAACAATACACTTAACCAGAAACATGCAGAATCTACTTGAGGAAAACTTTAACACTCTTGAAAGACACAAAAGCACAGGTGAATAAGATCACATCCCTCATCATCGCAAAGGAAAACTAAACATCACCAAGAAGTCAGTTAATTTACAAATCCCTTCATTAATTTATAAATTTAGGGCAATCCCAATAAAAATGCTGATGAGGTTCTTCATGTAGGTAGACAACTGATCCTCAGGTTCACATGGACACAAGACATACAAGACCAGCCAAGAAACCCTGGGAAAAATAAGACACACCCTCTGTGTGATTTCCCTGGTGTCCAAGGGTTAGTACACCATGCTTCCACTACAGGGGGGTATGGGTTCAATCCCTGAGCAGGGAACTAAGATTCCTCATGCCACATGGCACAGCCAAAAATTAGGGGGAAAAAAGACACCCTCTTGAGACCTCACGATATCACAGATGGCCCAGGTCATAAAGAAACAGACCCGAGGAATAAAACAGGTCTGGGCACAGAGCCTGGTGTGGGTGAAAGTGGTGGGCCTTCAACCATGGGGACATGATGGCTCCTACGCCCTGGAAGAGGAGGGCCCTCCCCACACATTGACCCAGAGGACCTGCAGCTCGGGGNGGGTGTGGGGGGGGGGGGAGAGAGAGAGAGAGAGAGAGAAGGGGATGGTCACCCAACAGCAGCTGGGCCCTCAAGCTTCTTTCAGAGATTTCTTGACTCCAGACTAACCCAGAGGTGCCCAGAGCTCAGAGAGGCCCAAGGCCCCCTCCAGCCTGCACTGCCTCCACAAGGCCTTCAGTGGCTGCTTTCTAGGGCATCTCCCCCCACACTCCTGGGGCCCTGGTGAGGTGAACTCGGGGCTGTACTGCCAAGTGACAGCCTGATCACTCCCAACAGCCAGACAGCTTCCTCACCCTCCAGCCCACAGTCTCAGGCCTACATGGGCGGCTGTGGCGGTGACTGTGGAAACATAGAGCTGACCCCACAGCCTTTACCTGCGCCCCTGACTGTTGTTTCAGCAGGAAATCAGGGCTGTGCTTTCCAGCAGGAACGCCCCTTGCATGGTGTTGCTGTGTGACCAGGGAGCTGCTGAAGTTGCCTGCCGGGGAAAGACCTGGACTGCCCTGCCTGAAGCTGAGCTGGGCTGATGTGGAGTAGGCGCTGGGGCCCGGGTTATGTGGTGGGGCACCACACAGCTCCTCAAGGGCTGATGGGGGTTTCAGCCACATGTGCTTCTGCAATCCATTTAAAAGGCCCATGATAAAATGTCTGGCAGCAACAATGAAGAAACCTGCCATACTCCCGGGTTTTGGGACAAATTTCACAGCTTCTCCTGGTTGCTGGGGAGCCTGGGGGAAGGTGGGAGAGACGTGGCTTTAGGAACAGCTGTAAACCCCCTCAGAGCTTGTAGGAATCCCAATGGATGTGAGCCCTCCACAATCCCAAGGCCCTGGCACGGCACTCAAACATATCCTTCCAGAAGAAAAACAAGGAAAGTCAGCTGCAAACTGTCTGCAGCACCTCAGGAAGGCCATTCTCAGCCCACGGGTGTGGACTGTGCTGCTGCTCCCAAGAGCCCGGTTCCCACCCTGCCGGGGACACTGAGCTCTCAACAGGGGAAGCAGAGGCAGAACCACTCCTTACGCTGTGTCTCTGACATCTCTCGTGATCCGATAGTTCCAGTCTCGGAAAACTTCATTTTCTTTGTCAAACTCTCGCTCATCTTCACCAATGGTCACTGTAAACCTTTTCTCTTCAAAATCAGGCTCCTGTTCTTTTCGAATAGTTGCTTTTTTCAAAACCTATCATTGTAAAAAGAGAAGCCAACACTGTTACTGCTAAGCAAACACAGGGGGTCCTACCCTGACTGACCCCTGATGCCTGGGCTGGCGTGCCAGAGGAGCATGACCAAGCGCCCAGTAGGGATTTGCTGAAGCTCTGTGCTGGGATGCACACGGGACCCCACAAGGGCCCCATCCCTGCAGGCACAGTGCACCCTGCACTCAGGAGCTCACCTATGTCTGACCTCCTGTTTCTAGTCCTGGCCTTGAACTGGGGGTTCCAGACATGCACTCAGTGAGGGGGCAGGGGAAGGTGCTCCAGGCAGGAGAGGCACCCAGAGTGGGGCGGGGCTGGGGGAGTGGGTGGGAACGGCTCTGCTTTCGCTGGTCATTTCCCTAAAGGGAAGCTCCAGAGCCAAGAGGGGTAAGCGCGGGCACTGGGAGCCAGGTGCCAGGTGTGGCCTAGCATGAGGGAGGGGGAGGTGGGTGAACACTGTGCTTCCCCAGGAAAGATGGCTTCTCCAGATACAGAGGCCACAGGGGAAGTGGCATGGCCCCCCTGGCCTCTGGATGACCTAGCAGCCTCGGAGAGAGAGAAATGCTGGCTTTGTGCAAGGACCACCACTAGTACTTTTCTTCATAGGCTTTCCACTGGTCTGTTACCTCCTTTGCATGCCGGAGTCCTCGTTCCCAGGCACTCTCTGTGGGGGGTTCTGGAGGGGGTGGCGGCAAAATTTCATCTACTACAGGCCCGCCCTATAAAAAAATGTAAGCCAAAAGTTACGACAGCAAGCAAAACTTAGAAATGGGGGCGCAAAAATACCAAGTGAAACCCCAGCGGGCCCTGCCTGCTCTCCTCTCTCAGCCTCCCTCCCTTGACCGGCTGTCCCAAGCCTCCGGGGGCCCCTAGCTGGGGACAACCAGAGGGCTGGAAGGCAGCTCTGGCCTCTGTGGCAGCCTAGAAATGTCTTACACACAAGGCACAGTCATGTTTTTGAGTTGGAACATCACGAACAGAGTTTAGATGTGATCTGCCAGCAAGGAATGACATTCATGGCGTTCACGTACCCATGGGTTGGCAGGCATCAGGGGGTGCGGTCCGAGCGGCGGGGCCCCATTGGGTGGGAAGGGCTCAGCCTTGGTGATGAGGGAGTAGTTGCCCTTGTCGTTGACTCCAGGGTGTATGAATCTGCAGTTCATGCCCCAGGTGCAGTTCCCTGTGGAAATAAGAGGCAGGTCAGAGGGGGCCTGGCCCATGTGCACAGTTCAGCTCCCCCTGCTCCACTGGCGACCGGCAAGACACCCAGGCAGCAGGCCGAGCACAGCCCTGTCCATCCCACGAGACCATGAAGGCAGGCCTGGACAGTCTGGGCCGCCTTGCAAGCAGCACTTAAGGGCCCACACAGGACCCTGCCCCACAGTCACCATAAGAGTAGTTCATCTCCCCTAAACAGAGACACCCATAGCATCCCGGTGATCAGGGTGGCCCTGCCTCAGGTTTCACGGCTCAGGACATACACACCCGAAGGTGCACTGACAAGGTCATGATTCTGACTCAAGAGAGCCCCATACTGAAACAGAAATCAAAGAGCAGCACAATAGCGATCACTGCCAGTTTATGCCAGGGTGATCTTTACCAGCTCTGTACACCTGCATTTCTCCTAGCAAGCCACTGCAGGCTACTTCCAGTTACTTAAAAAAAAGGGTTAGAGAGAAAACACATAGACAACTATAATAAATGGGGTGTTTATACTTTACAACAAAGAACTAAAGAGGCTGACCTTTAGCATTATTCAGCAACAGAACACCAAGATTCAGGAAAACCACCTGACTTTTCAGGACAGAAAAGAAGACTACATTTTAAATTTAATTAGTGAGTGAATTTTTTTTTTAATTTAATTTTTTGAATAGGTAATATGTGTGCAGGCTTAAAAAATAAATATGGCATACAATATCTAAGTGGTTTCAGAAAACATTTTCAATTGGTTAGCATGTAGTTAAATTGTAAGCCATCTTTTAATATACATTCACTCCTAAACACAGTATTTCATTTGACTATTTCTGTCAAAAAAATGTTTTTTTCCTTAAATCATGTAAATTAAAGAGAAATAATCATTTGATATTTAAGAAACACTAAATTTTACCTTTTAAAAATTATGAGCATTTCAACTTGTATTAAAACCAACATAATAATATATGGCTCCGAATTAAATATAGAATAAAGGATACTTAAAAAATTTTTTTCTCTGGGAATGCAAAAACAATCAACTAAGTTTATAATTTCTAAAAGTGTTTGAGAGATCACATACAAAGCAGAGGCTAAGTAACACACTCCAGGGGGTTCAAAACCCCAGAGACTCAGACAGTTTTAAAGAAAAAAGAATGTGCAGTCATACATCTAAATAAAGAACTCCAAAATATGCACTTATTCATCGCTTGACTCTCATAAATTCACATCACAGTTCGCACTGCTCATGCAGTTAAAAGGTAACAAAAAAATTGTAAGCACAGAAAAGTAACAAAATAAAGCACAGCATTTCCATAATATTTAAAATCTAAAATACCTATATGGGTAGGAGGTAAATGAATGTGTTATTCTTTGTTCTTTTTGTATTTGAATTTTCAAAACAAAACAAAAATATCACCCCTGACCACTAACAAAAAAAGCTCTTTGGTTCCTCAGGTTTTAAGGGCAGGGAGGAGGAGCCGGAGAATGAGCAGAGAGAGAGGAGTTGAGACTGCCTATGTCTGGGCCCAGGGCCTCCAAAGAGAAGGAGGTGGCTGCTCCAGGAAGTGTGGGCGGTCTACATACATGCAAGGGCAGGCGTCCCGCGCCTGCAGGCAGGAAGAGTGGCAAGAACAGTGCAATCCCACCAGCCTTTTGAAAAGTGAATTTTCAATTATGCAGAAAGAAGTATGGGAGGATACACTCCAACTGTATCAGGATAACTGATACTGTTTTGACTCTCTGTCAGCACACATTACTTTCATAATTTAAGAAAGCAATTTGTTTGGGGAAAAAAAAATTCTCCAGGAAATGGAAGCAAAAGTAGATTTACAGGTTTAAAAACTCTCTTCTGCTTCTAAATGAAATTTCACTACCAGAAAATTTATGTGGACTGTGACTGTATGACGAAACAGGATTACAATTCGGTAAGGGGTCTGCATGGACAGGCACAGGAGCCCAAAGGGAGCAAGCAGAGGACTTTGCTGTAATCCAAGTGGTACAGCCAAAAGAAAAAAAAAAAAAGGACGCAGTGTGGTGGTGGGTGGGAGGGTCACAGGAATACATGTAAACAAAGGTGCCTATTACACACACACACACACACACACCCTGCCTCAGTCTCAGCAGAAACCAAAGACACGAACACAGACGACAGAAGGCACGCCCCACACAGCAGATCCAGGAGTCTGGTCAGAAAGACCACCAGGCCTTAGCAGCTCTGACTGCTGGCCCGACTGGAGGTCAGTGAGGCGCCTCTGCTGGCATCTCTAACCTGCATGGCACGGCACCTGTGGTGCCTCCCGCAACAGCGGAGATGATTTTACACTCCTTTCTCTAGCTTCCACACAAAATGCTTTCTGCACACTAGAATTTTAAACAAAGACTTCCTTGTTTCTAAATAAGACACAGTGGTCTTATTTAGATATTCCTTGGTCCCATTTCCTGTTAATTTGAACAACTCAGAATAACTAATAAAAATAGGGATTGTCAAAATAAAGTGCTTCATGGTTTTTTAAAAAAATATTTTTGAAAAGAAGACAGAATATATAAAAATCTAATAAGGAAATATTAAAGACCAACCCAAGTTCTACAAATGCTTCCTCTAACAGGCATAAAACTCAATGAACACAAACTTAATGTAAGAACACAAAAGTCAGTGCTCCCCTCTTCACAGAACTGTGACAGACACAGGCAACCAGGTCATCTGTGCTGAGCTGCTTTGACTTCTTCAGGAATAGTCATTATTCATTATGGTAGTTGAAAGAATAAAAATAGTTTCTGGGTTGCTTCTTTATAAATGACAGACTTGAAACCAGTGGTTTGTGTAACTTTTCGGTCTCAGGATCCCAGAGTCTCTGTAATGATTATATCTATTGATATTAAAACTGAGAAAATTTAAAGACATAAAATATAACACATGTAATTTATGTTAACAATATTTGTTAACATAAAGGTTTTATGAACATATTTTGAGAAAACTTAGCCTGCTCTGGGGGTGGCTCTGGGGGTGGCTCAGGGGAGGAGGTGCAGCCGCTGGGAGACCCTGAGGCCTCTCCCGACGCTGTGTGCCCTCCGAAGCTTTGGCCAGGAATTCCCCCAGCCCTGCCACTGAACTTCTCTGACTCCCAGGCGGGTCCACCTTGAACTGTGAATGGCTTTCTACCCAGGTAGGATTTTGTGACATCACGCAACGTTAGCTTGGAAAAGTCATCAAATACTGCAAAGCTGTCAAGTTTCCTACCACTCTGATTTTTCACTTGAGAGGCTGACCTTATCAGCAGCCACTGTCCTGGCTTTCTGGATGTCATGGAGTCAACAGGACTGGGCTCATGGCCACACCTGGCATGCCCTCCCTGGAGGCACCCTTCACGCCTCAGGGGCAGCAAAGGAGCTCCGTGAATGCTTGCACTTTTGTTAGAAAAGCAAAAAGACACATATTGAGGGGTTGTGGTGGGGCGAAGGAAATATTCTACACCTGGACTTTGGTGCTGGCTGCACAACTTGCTAAACTAATAAGAATCATTAAACTGGACACTTAAAATAGGTGGATTTTATGACAGGGCAATTATACCTCGATAAATTTATTTACGAAAAGACCTAAACTCAAACTAATCATGAACGTTGTTTCACAGCATGTGCAGCAGGTGGCCCCTGCCGAGTGGTGCATTCAGTCTCACTAAGGCACTGACTTCAGGGGCCCCTAGGTGGCAAGAACATACCTGGAGACCTCCTGCCTTAAACACCAGAGGATGCAGGGATTAAAAAATGGGCAGTAAGCACTTCTCCAAAGAATAATCACAAATGGCCAAAAAGCACTTGAAGAGATGCTCCACATCACTAATCAGAGGGAAATGCAAATCAGAACCCATAGGAGACACCACCCCACACCCATGATGACAATCACTATTGCAAAACCAGAAAATGGGCGTCCATGAGGAAAGAGCTTAAACCCCGGGCGACGTGGTGGGATGCGAAACGGTAGAGCCACATGGACAATTGTAGGGCAGTCTCTAAAACTTTAAAGACATAAGTACCACACGACCAGGCCATCCCACTTCTGGGTGTATACGCAAAAGATTGGAGAGGAGGGTGTCAAAGAGACATCTGCACACCCATCTTCCCAGCAGCATTATCACAACAGGTCAAGCAAAGAAGCAACCGAGACGCCCACTGATGGGCGACGGGCAAGCACAGTGTGATCTGCCCTGCAGTGGACTGTTACTCCATCCTGAAGAAGAAGGCAATCCCGACACTGCCACAGCGTGGATGAACCTTGAGGACACTGCTGAGTCAAATAAGCCCCTCACAAAAGGACGAGACTGCACTTCTGTTAGGCACACAGGGTACTCAACTTCATGGAGATGAGGGGGGCAGAGGTGTAGGGCTGGGAGCTCCTGTCTAACACAGACAGTTTCAAGTTTCCATAATGAAAGGAGCTCTGAAGGCCCATGGTGGTGATGGCCACAATGAAGGCCAATGAAATGGACACTTAAAAACAGTTAAGATGGTAAATTTTATGTTGTGTTTTTTACCACAATTTTAACAAGAGGAAGAAAGTGTGTGTGTTTTGGGGGGGCGGGGGCGCAGGCGCAGGAAGGAGCAGATACAGGAGGCCTGGTCTGCAGAACAGGCTTGGTGCTACTGACGGCCAAGTAATCAGAGACCCAGGAGCAGGACAATTTAAAGAAAATGCTATTTATGCCTTTATGGACAGAACTTCATGTTTTGATGACTCAACCTAAGTAGGTGACAGGTGAAAATATACCATAAACAAAGTACTGGCGCTTTAAAATGTTTCAACTTGTGTTCCTAAGTACATTGTTGTTGTCATTGGTTACAAAGATCAATGTGTCCATTTGGGCAACTTAACAATTAATCTGCAGATCACAACTTGTAATAGAAATATAGCTAACAAACACTGTTTAAGAATTTTCAAATTAAGATATAATTCACATACTGTAAAATACCCCTATTTAAAGGGCTCCATTCAGTGGGTTTTAGTATGTTCACAAAGTTGTGCAACCATTGCTACTACATAATTCTAGGACACTCCATCTCCCTAAATGAAACACTGTACTCAATGGCTGCCCCTCCTGCTCTGGCCTGGACAATAACCAGCCCATTTTCTGTCTCTATGGATCTGTCCACCCTGGATAGTTCCCATAAGCAGAATCATACAATATGGGCTGTTAGCGACCAGCAGTGTCCTTGGGTTCATCCATACTGCTTTTATTATTCCCTGGTATGGAGGGACCACATCCTGTTTATCCCCTCACAAGCCGATGGGCACTGGGGCTGTTTCTACCTTCTGCCTGTTGTGACCATGCTGCTGTGAACACTTGTGTACAGGTCTCCGTGCGGCTCAGGATACACCGGGGGGGAGTGGCTGGCTTAGCTGCAGCCCTCTCCACCACACACTCTGAGCAGGCTGCGCCCAGGGTGTAAGTAAGGTTCTGTTTCTCCACATCCTCCCCAGACACAGCAAACTTCATTGTATTTTAGTGACTCTTGCTATTGGAGAGAACCGAAATGCATCCATCTCAGCTTATAATCTTTTAAACTGCATACAAGCAAAAACGTTTACACCCAAAATCTTTTTCCTAAGGAAAGGCAAGAGGTTTGTCCCAGAACACCCAAAGAAGTATCTATCACATTATTCTGTAGAATGAACAGAATATCGGGGGAAGGGAAACTATAAATTAAACAGTTTATTTCTGAAACAAGTTACTGAATGTGCCCAAGTAAACTGTAAAAAACGCTGCTTACCAGTAGCTTCTGACTTCTCTACCAAGAAAGGCCTGACACGTTGTGGTGGTGGGCGGTGTCACTCCCTGAAACCCCACCCGGGTGCTCAGTGGGATCTGAGGCACCTCCCCTGCTGTGCTATGACCGCCCCCCCCCCCCCCCCCGCTGCAGACATCCTTGGAGAGGGTATCCCCTCCAGCACCCCCCAGTGCTCCTCTGTGTACGGCCACCAGCTTCGTTTTGTAGTGTGTGCGCTTCTGGAGCTAAATTCTGGCAAGTCCTTCAGCAGTGAGACACCAAGCACCTGACTGGAGCTTCTGTGCCCTCAAAGGTGGGTGCTGCAGCCTCCCGCCCTGCTGCCACGGGGCCTCCGGCAGGTCCTGACCGTGGCCAGACTTCTAACCACAGGGTCTGTGCACAGTGCTAACTGGAAATGATCGCAGCACATGTGTGTGCATGCACGCGTGTTGGGCTCCACTGATTTACTCCAGAAATTCCAGAGACAGACTGAAGTCTTTATGGCAAGGAAGTCTTTGGCTTAAGTTTTCTGAAATACTGACACTTCCAATACCACAGGCTTTGAGAAGCTGTAAGCATTTACTTTCTAGAAGGTGCTGCGTATTCATCTGCATCCTTAGGGCAGCTATGCTCCCATCCAGGGAATGGTGCATGTGGCCGCACAGAGGAGCCATCGCGCAGCAACGAGCAGCACAGAAACAGCACAGCCAAGAGGACTTGCCCCCAGGACGTGCTGACCAGGGCCTCGAGCGTTCCCAGGCGCTTGAATCCTTGGGTCACCTCAGTATGAGGGACGGGCTTGTTCACGGCCACTCATAGGACGGGGCTCCACCACCGCCCCCCCCCCCCCCCCGCCCCACCCCCCGTGCAGGCAGCACGCGGCCCCTGCGAGCCCATCATGGCCGCGGCCTGCCCTCAGAGCCTCCCCCTACCCCTGGCATCACGGCAGGATTCTGGATCCAGAAGAAAGGAGTCTGGCCTCCGGAGCAGGGGGACTGTGCGGTACTAGAGAGACGAATATCGTATATTTTGTACCTTTAACCTGGCCTCTGAATGGTATGGAATTTGATATTGGTGGAGGAGTGGACAATGGTGTCACAACATCTGGAAAAGAAGTACAGGAAGCTCTCGTGAACGTTAGGGGGCACGGGTGGGCTGGGTCAGTGCGCGAGGCGTCTGGGGTCACAGCAAGCCCGGGCAGGAGAAGACCTTCCTCTGGTGCAAGGGGCCACTCCATCACAAACACGCCGGACGGCGCTGTTCCGGAGCAGCCCCGACACACGCACCCTGGGCTTGAGAGCCCCTTGTCACACCTTCTCTGTCACAGTCACTCAACTCACTCCATCCGCTTTGCAGGAGGGAGGGGCCTTGCTGCCTTCAGAGGCCGACCCTTCTACAGGCTCCTTTCCAGCCTCTGACGCCTGGTAATAAGTGGGAACTCTCCTTACAAAGTTGGGAAATGTCACAGCTGGGGCACGTGGTCTTAGAAAAGGGACCACTCAGACGAGGAGTGATGATGTCTACAGTGGAGACATGGGTCTGTGCTGGGTGGATGGGCTGGAGCCTAGGGCGAAACAAGCAGGCTGGCTGCCCTCCGAGCAAGGCACGAGAGTGACCAGGAAAGGCCCACAGCTCAGAGCGAGGCTCTGCCGCTGCCACCGCCACAGATGGTCACTGTGGCCCTGAGGACAGCCCTGCCCAGGCCCAGGGCTGAACCACCACCTCTGTCCCGGGAACAACTGAGGTCACACCAACGGGCCACGCAGAGGCCCCTCACGCAGACAATTACCTTTCATGAAGAATCGGCAGGTGGGACGAGGCCTCACCTTCCTGTCACTGGGGTCCTTCACCTCACCCTCCTCCAGGTCATCGTCCTGAAACAGAGACAGAGTCACTTGAAGAGAGACTCACCTGAATGAGGTGATGAGGCGGGAGGGACGCCTACCAACGCGCACAGCACTCCCTAAACCAGACAGGGAACAGCCCTGCGACTCACGCGGCCACATTCATACATGCTTCCAAACCTGAGACTCCCCCAACCGGGCTATGGGGATGATCGAAGCTCACCCACAGACTGCAGCATCACAGTGATCACCAAGAAACAATGTTCTGTGATGTATGTGACATGCAACACAAGCCAGGATGTCATCATAGTTCTCTTAATTAGCAATTCTGGGCAGGAAATGGCCACACTTCAGGTTTTTAATATTTTTTGCACTTAAAATTTACAGGAAAAAATATTTTGTGTCTAAAGGACACAACTAGGCACTTTCTCTAATTTACAAGTCTAGGGCCAAGGAGGAGGGAATTTAGGCGACTCAGGTCAGCGAGCGGATCCACTTCAGCTTAGACCTGGGCCTTCACTTCCTGTTCTGGCCCAGAGTTCCCAACCTTGGGTTTTATAATGCAGGAGGGTTTCAAGACCACAGTAGGGGTGGGTCTCTCCTCCAGGGACTTCAGAGAGCAACTTGGACCACTGCTCTGCACCCTCCCCAGCCCCCCACCTGTGCCCTGAGCTGAAACCCCAACCCAGGATGGCCCCTAGCCCAAGCAGGGATCCAGAGCCCTGTAGATGTAGTTAAGATGCTAAGTCCAGGATAGAGCCCCTCCGGGCGCCTGTTCCAGAGCGCCCTTGTGTAGTCAACACAAGGGAGCCACAAGCAGGGCAGAGGTCTGGGAGACCCTCCTCTCATCTCCTGCAGCACTGCCCTCGTCCAAATGACTGCCCATCCCACTCAGCCTGGGGACTGCTTCTGGATGGGCACCCACACCCGTGACCCTCCGCATGCTCCCCAGAGTTCTGTGACCGCGGTGAGTCCGGCCTGACCATGTTCTCGCCTCTCCTTCCCGGCGGGTAACACAGTCTGAGTTAGAGGCCCCACAGCCCCCCACCAAGGACAAGGCCCCAGCCGCCGAGGCTGCTGACCAGATGGTGCTTTTCACTTGCTGCTGCTCCAAGTGCAGCATCGGACTCACCGTAAACAGTCTTCATTGAGTGAAGAAACACTGGAGACAAACCCTGGACTTAAGGTGACTTATTCCAAAGCGTAAATATTTGTAAAATTTCTGCCTTAAAAACACCAAGTTATTAAGAAGTATTTTGTAAGAAAAAAGAACAGATGCCTGAGAGCTATCTCTCTTAAGAGAACCAGCAGAATGATTTCTTTTAGAGAAAGTAACAAATTTTTTTAAAGGTTTTGAGAATTTATTCACCTAATAACTGAAAGTTTGTACCCTGTGAACAACATCATCCCCTGGTCCCCCGACCCCCGTCTCCCAGCCCTGTCCTCCTTCCTGCTTTCCTCAGGCACTGGGTCCTACACTACCACCTCACGTGCTGTCTAGGGTCATACAGATGCTCACATCGGAGCTGAGAGTGGATTCTGTTTGCTCTCATTAGAAAAACAAAACTCTTTTGTGAGGTCAGAAGTCATTCAACTCTTCTGTTTTGTTTGGAAATCAATGCACAGGAACTGAAATGATGAGCACAGAGCAACTGCTTTTAAGAAACCAAGATTCACCAAAAAAAAAAAAAAAAGAAAGAAAGAAACCAAGATTCACAGCCAGTGCACTCGATCAGGTTACAGATCTGTTTCTGAGGAGATGTTACTCTCGATATTCACAAGAGCCATCAGGAGCCAGCTGCCCAGCTCAGCCACTTCTTAGATGCCAGACAGACGAAAGCATCAATAAATCACCCAGCAGGAGAATATTCTCAATCATCAACTAACTGTTCATTTAGCACAATGGCCTCTCGAGTGACGAACACAAGGTGTTCTGGGATCTTATAGTTTCAAGCAAATACAACTCAAGAAGGATGTCTCTAAAGTCAGCCCTCCAGAGTTCCCAGCACCAGGTCAGGGCTGTAACTGGCAGGAATTCTGGCGGGTGGCCCCTGATCCCGTGACCTAGAACAGAGCCAGTAGAGAGCAGGTGTCCCCAGAAGCAAACTGGTGGGTCTATAAACAGCTAAAAAGGGCACCAACAACTAACTAACAACAACTGGAGCTTGTGCCAGGCCCCCCTACAGTTTACAAATCTAGGGAGAACCAGGCAGCATGTCTTTGGGGTGAGTATGCATGGGGCGTAGGGCATGGGGTGGCCTGGGTTCTCCTCCTGCTACCTGGCGCCCCCCCCCCCCACCTCCCCGGCCCCAGCCGTGCCCTCCTCCCTACTCTTCCAGCAGCCAGAGCTTCCACCCGAGCCTCAGGAGACGCACATGGTGAGCGCTCAGCATCTTGACAGAAAAACCCCTCAGAGGCAACACGTCAGATGTGAGCGAGGGGAGCACAGGTGACTTCTACCTTCTCCTTTGTGTGGGTTATTTTCCTTAAAACAACACAAAACCACAAAGCTGGGGTATGACCTCAACAACAAAAAGAGCTCATTTCCAACCCAGCGCCTCCCCGGCAACAGCAGATAAGGAAGAAGATGCAGGCTTGCACCCCAGAGCAGAGGCCCAGGGGCCGCTGGGCCAATCAGGGGCTCCTTGAACTTCCGATTCTGCACCTGTATAGCGAGCTAGCAGTTCAGGTCTATAATCCTGCATGCACACCCTTTGGGGCCAGAGATGATGTTTTGGTTTCAAAACGGTGATGGGGTGTGGAACAGCACCTGTGAGGGGACCCAGGACCTGTGCACGAAGCAATAAACACAAACCACAAACAGGTTCCAGCATGTTGGGTGCTGGCAGGAAGGCAGCTTTCCTACCCCAGAGCTTCTGGGCTGCTTGGCTAAGCAAGCACAGTGGTCCAGCCCCTAACTAGCCAAGCAGAGGGAGGCGGGAGGCCTGACTGAATCCCTGGGGGCCAGGCTGCCGTGGCTGCTTCTCCGCCTCCCACCAGAGGGCAGTGCTGCCAATGCCCCAGATTTCTAAGCCCCTAAATCCTTTGGTAGAAGATACTATGTGTCCAGACATGAAAGGAGCAGGCAGATGTGAACATGAGAAAAGACAAAGCCCACATGTAAAGAAAAGGCTTCCGAGGTGTATTCATCCCTGGCTCGGCCAAGAGCCATCACTTCTGCCCAAGGAGCTGTGTGGACAGTCCACTCAGGGTGCGGGCCCGGTCCCGCCATCTCTGAGCAGCCACCCTACCAGTGTGATAGTCACTGACGAAAGGAGGGAGGGAACAGAATACTCTGGCCCTTCCCAAGTGGATGGGACGCTCCAGGTGCCAAAGTTTCGTTAACCAGACAACATGCGAGACAAAAACAGAACCAAGTCACAAAGCGGAGGAGACGATGGAGGGCCAAAGATGGAAGGACTGGAGTCTGCAAAGGCAAGTCATAGATCCTCGAGGGAGGAGGCTCTGTGCAGGACCATGCAAGGCACACATGGCCGCTCGCGCCATTTGGCTGTCTGAGCTGCCGGCACAGGTGAGACCGCTGACTAAGTCAAGTTCACCCATGCTTCAGCTGTCACTTGGCGGGGACCCTCGGCCCCCTCCACAAATAAGCTAGATGCTATAAATAGCTGGCCCACAATCCTGTTTGCAAAATCCCCTCCCACTGCAACAGGCAAGTGGCACTTCCAGAAGGGCACTGGTATCTGAAGGTAGCTCACCAAAACACGTGCAAGTCATTCAAGGCCTGAGTTATAAACCACCTGGTTCAAACAGAAGAATGTCAAAGGTTCATTGTACAAACTGATGTCACTACCAAGGAAAGAAAGTGGAAAAGCTGGGGAGAGGGGGCCTGCCTCCCTCCAAGCCAGCTCATCTGTCCCACTGACCCAAAGCCTACAAGGGAAAAAAGCAGGTCAGTGTACTCCAACAGAGAAAAGCACTTCTCAGTTAAAAGAAGGGTAAATCACTTGTGTTCTTGGAAGTAAGGGTGCTAAAGAGCAACAGGAACACACACACTAACGACCCAGTCAGTTCAGATAGGAATCACAGCAAAGGCACCAAGCCTGACGCGACAGTCAGGGGCAGAGCCCTCAGAAAGAGCGTAACATCTAAGCAAGTGATCAAAGAATGGGGAGGAGCCTGGAATGCAGGCATCTGGGCACAAGTGAACCAGAGGGGCTCCCATGAGGGTCTGAGTCTCCACTCATAGCGCTCACCCCTGTCCAGGTCTGCCTGTCTGGAGGGGTTACAGGCTCTGCTCCGCCCGGTCACATGCCCCTGTGTCACAAAGAGCCCAGCAGCACACTGCAGGACCCGTGGGGATGCATGTGGACAGACATGCCACCCTGTGGCTGAATGAAGCTGGGCCTGGGGCCAGCGGGGCTCCAGGGCCCTCTTGAGAGACCAGGCAGGCACAAGCCAAACCAAACAACCATCTAGGGTCAAGTGGGCAAGAAAGTCAACCTGGATTTCTACTTCTCATGCTGTTTCTGAAGAAACCAGCTATCTCCAAACAACAGGTGTTTTCCTGGGCCAGCTCAGGTCAACGTCACGTCCTAGGCCACCACATCTAACTCAGTGCAGTGGGAGAGCCCCCAGGACCTGTGGGGAGATATCTGACCGCATGTGAGCATGGAAAGGCTGAGAAGTCGATGAACTTCCCCTGTGGACTATTCACAGCTGAAGCAAGAAGAGCTTGCACCTCGTCCTTTCTTAATGGGGGAGGACTGCCCAGACCCGCCGGCCGCATGTCCCGTCACTAGGAGCCCCACGTCCTATGGGCAAGACACTGGCTTAGCTTTTCTTTTTGAAAACTGAGAGACCAAACTCATGGGCAATCTCAATCAATGATTTCGTCTTCTGCCCCAAATGTCATCCAAACTGATTAACTGGAGTCTCGTGGCATCTTTTTTTCCTCTGGCAACCCTCTGGTTGAGAAGAAGTTTCCAAATTGCAAGGGAAGCACAGCTGGCAGAACCTAAGAATGCTCACAGACAACGTCCCAACAGCACCCTTGTAAGTAAGTATAATACTAACAAGCAGTGGCTCTTAGCTTAGGAGACCATCTGCTACGTTTAGTTGTGAGAAGACAAAAGATCTAAAATTCTAAGCTTGTAACTACACACATGAGCCTGTAACGCCTCACAAAGTTCTGTTCTCATGAAGTTCAAGAAGCAATACCAGGCACAACCATGGCCCCAAGACATGGCATACGTACTAGCTGCTGGAGAAGCCAGCGTGTCAAGCAAATCCAGCTCACATACTTAACCAACAACCCCCTCCCCTCAGCAACCCAGAGCATTTCTGAGAGCTATTCCTCACACCTCTCACGTCAGTGCCTCTCCCATGAGCAGAATCTCCTTCCTGGGACATTAAAACTCCTGTCAATCTGTTCTGTCCCTCTCTCTCCTCCTTTGAGTAAAAGCATTTCTCAGCAGGACTTTAAATTCTTCCCTCCTCAAAATTCAACCTCTTAAAAAGATGGTGATGGAAGTTCTCTCATCAGATTATCTGTCATAAAAACCCAACTGCTCACAACTAAAACGATTATTACCAGACACCTTCTCCTTAACCTGAAAGGCCAGATTAATATAAATAAAGTTAAAAGAATGTGATGGTCAAAAGTCAAAGTGCTCTGACAACACAATCCCTTTTTCTGCAGTCCCAAGGAGACACTTGCAAGGAAGCATGGCCTAGTGGAGACCCTCAGCAGAGGACAAAGAGAAAAATGGCCAAAATAATAGACAAAACTGGAAGGAAGTTTCCTCAGTCTCAAGAATCTAACAGGAACTGAAATCCACGATGGTTCTAGTTGAACACTAACTCAAACAGTACTTAAAGACAGAAAAAAAAAAAAAAAAAGGCAGAAAATGACCTCTTTAAAAAAAAAATATGATCCAACCAACAGCACCAGATAGACAAGTGAGGGTCTGTGGAACTTCCGCCAGCTGCTGACTCCAGGCCAAGCTAGTCTCCCTGCCTTCAGTGTCCCCTCGCCACCACGGCAACGGCCCCAGCGCTGGCCCCCCACCCCCTCCTCGGGGTGCCCACCAGGCCTACTCACATCAATCTCCCCGTCGTCGATCTCCCCGTCATCATCCTCTTTCCTCTTCTCCTTGGCAGCCTCTGGGGGCTCCTTGTCCTCCATGGCACGGCCCCCCGCCTTCCCCTCCTCCCCAGGAGCCCCTTCTCCACGCTCCTCGTCATCCTCGGGCCCAGCCTTCTCAGCGTCGTCCTCCTGAGCGCCAGGGGCTGGCTCCTCGGGCACCTCCTCGTCGTAATCTAGCTCGTGCTCATCCAGGTCCCTGGTGACCGACGAGGCCTCGTCCCTCAGGTCGCTGGCACGGTCCCCCTCGGCTCGTGGGGGGCTGGCTGGGCCCCTGCTCAGCTCCTGAGCCTCAGAATCCCGGTCATCCTCATCGGAACGACTCTCCTCGTCCTCCTGGCTCAGTCCTGGGGCCACACTCTCCTCATCCTCCAAGTCAGAAGCCCTCCCACCCGCCGCGTCCAGATCCTGCTCAGACCCGCTTTCCCTCAGGATGTCATCGTCCGAGAGCCCCTGCTGCTCTTCTTCGTCCTCCGGAGAGCGAGGGTCCCGGTCAGGGCTCTCGGCCACATCCATCAGTACCCACGGTTCTGCAAAAGAAAGAGAACACACTCAGAGCATCCAGCAGAAAGGCCAGTCAGTCCCGCGCGGCTCTCCCAGCCCCAGGCGGGTTCCTGATCTGCAGGAGGGCTCAGGACCCATGGCTGCCCAGTTCCTCCACATCCCAGACTGTGCTCTGCAGACCAGCAGCACCAGGCACCACAGCCCAGGCCTCCATGGGGCCAGGCCGGGCTTGCTGAGCTGGGCATCAGGGGCCCCACACCCAGAACCACTGGGTGGCAAGAGCCCCTGCACACCCCCCTCCTCCCAGGGCAACCCAAGCTTATCAGCCAGTGAGCAGGAAGATGGGCACCACAAGCAACAGCTTTTTGGGTTCTTAAAAGTAATTTCTTTTGAAATTCAGGATGATGTGCATTAGGAACACCGTGGCAACACAGAAGGCAACACGCCTGACCACTGTCTGGAGCCCCCCTACAGGGTCTGGAACACAAGCCCGATTGCTTCAGACAGTCCCCAGGATGCAGGCTGTCTCCATTCCTGCATACATCTCTCCAGGCCTGGCCCTGACCACCAAGTCACAATCACTGGGGGTGATCCTTAAACCGCAGGCCCTTCTGGAGCCACCAAAGGACGCCAGAAGGCCTCCATGCACCCTGATTCTCAAGAAGTACCTTTCCAGGATGGGCATGCTGCAGGAAACAACTCTGGCAGAAAATCGTACATGTTTAAGTAGTTTTGAATATAAAAACACTGACTGTCATCCTAGAAGATTTCTTTTCTATTTTTACTAACTAGATTTAATTATAAAGTGACTATTTTTCCTGGTTTTCCCACCCTAATGTGCAAAGACAGAAAATTGTCCCAATTGTTCTAAACGCAGGCTGCATAAACTGGGGTGACAGAGTGTGTGTGTGCGTGTGTGTGTGAAATCAACACCACACAGCCAACCAACACCACACAGCCTACAAGCGAACACTGACTGTCCACCAGGCCAGGGGTCACCATCAAGCTGGTGTGAAAGAGCAGGAACAGTGAAAGGCTTAATGTTCACCTGAGTCTTCAAGGTTTTTTATTTAAAACAATGTATGCCAGTCATGTCACATGATACCTTAATGAAACCTGAAAACACACATAACTGTATTTGCATAATTATATAAAATTACTTATGCATTTATATGTAACTAATATTTTAAAATGTATCTTTTAAATGTACCCTTTCAAAGGGAGAACCTGTGTTTAAAGATGCACATATCAAGAGTTGGTATCTGAACCCATAATTAAAAAAATTTTTTTGCTGATAATGGAAATTATTAAAATTCAGCAAACATAAGGACAAATCACTTCAAAGTCATCACCTTATAAATAGTCAGCAGTAAAAGGAATTTACAAACCAATCCATTCAAAGTGACTTAAAAGTAGACAGTTTGGAAAATGATTCAATTTGCGGCCTTCTAACGACACTGTCCAGAGGCAGGCCTACTGAAGGAATTATTAATATTAAAGTCAGTCCTAAAGTGCTGTATTTTGCTGCCTCCCTGCACAGGGCAGAGCCTGTCACCACATACATTCCTCTGGCAGTCCAGGGCAACCAGCAAGGTGAGAAAGCTACCAAGACAGGGCCCACATCCTCGCCTCCTCCAGACACAGCGCTGGGTGTACAGCAACCAGTCGGGGGCCAGTGGCAAACCAGCAGCCTCTCGCCTCACCTTAGCTGATGATGTCAGTGAAATGTGTGAGATTTTCCTTGGTGAACAATGTCCCAGGCCCACCTTTGTACAGCTTTTACTACACTGTGCGTAAGAAACCTCTCCATAGAGAGGCAGGGACTTTCACTCCCCAGTTGCTCAGGCTGGCCCCCGGGACCCTGAAGGCAGGCAGTCACACACAACTGTCACTGAGCCTCAAATTCCGATTGTCACATCGTACAGTCTAATGGCAACCTTGGGAACCAAGTTGCCTCTGAAATTAATCAGCTAGTAACCAAAATTAAGTGTCCTCTTAAACTAGCTTAAAATCCACACAACTGCTACTTGAGCCTTGCAACATACTATCCTGTTCACTGTTCCTGGCACCAAGGCTGCCTGCAAGTAACATGATAATAGCCCCTTCCTGGGGCCCAGGTGCCAAAAGGTTCCATTGTCATGATTAGGTCCAAACAAACTGCTCTGTGCATTTTGGCAAACTTGGATTTAAATCCCAGGGTAAGAAATGGACGAAAAAGAGCTCCTAGCTTCAAATATACAAACTCAAGCAAGCGGACCGTGTCTTTCTGGGACATGGGGATCAGTGTGGGCTTCTGAGTCAGAACCCGAATCCTCGCTCCACTGCCTCCTGGCCTTAGGGTCCTGGACAAATTACGTAAACTTGCCAGACTCCAGTTTCTTTATCTGAAATATGGGAAAACAGCAGCCACTCTAGAAGTCACTGCAGCAGCAAGATGAGTCCCTAGACTGAGGCTGATGGCTTCCAACACCCGTGTCCCACTACCCACGAGACTGCCCAGGGGCCAGTCACCCAACACACACCAGAGAACGGACTCAGCACGATCACGTCTTTACAACAACTATGCAGAGAAATCAACAGCCACCGTACCTGCGGTGAGACTACTACTCTGCCAGGCACTGGATCTAGTCTCTCACATCGACCTTTTAGACAAATGATGTTACCCCTCACAGGGAAGGAAACCAAGGCCACCTAGCCACTGAGTGCAGTCCAAGCTGGAGTCTACTCTGCTGCCCAGTCCCGGAGCCGGCCTGATGCAGAACATCAGTTCCTGCTACCTGCCCTGGGACTACCTGCCACACATCACCATTGTTCTACAAGAAAATGGGACCTGAGCGCCAAATGACTCTACAAATTCTGTTCTGGAATACAGCCCTCACATCAACCGGGGACTTACACTGACCCAGGAGATCTGTCTGTTGTTCTCTTCTCCCTTCTCAAGTTTTGTGCTGATCCATCTAGCTTCCTGCCCGAGCCCTTCTAGAACCCAAAAGCAGGTTTTTACAGAGATGGAAAAGTTACTATATGGTCCACACAGACTATTAGGTAAAGAATAGTGATGATCATATGGAAATTGAATCTGTGACACCACTTATTTTAAGTGTGTCCCAAGTTTGAAACTCAAGGCACTTAAAACTAAAAGTAAATCTAACAAAAGAAACCCCCCAAAGGTGCACACTTCTATACCAACACCACAGGAAACGCTGCCTCAAACTAAAATCTCAAGGCTGCTGGATGGTGTGTGGAAAGAAGTCCTCGCAGATCCTTGAATGTGCCCCCAGTTTGTATTATGGAAATCACTTCACCCCCCCTCCCCAAGCACAGCGCTATCTTCCCTCCTCTAAAGGGCCATTTCTAGCAAAAGGCCCTTCGTGCACCTGCTTCTATCCAGGTGCACAAGTGCTGTCAGCCTTCCATTGGCGGGGGGCTGGGGGGGGTGCAGACATGGATTGCTTTAAGAATCTGAGTAAGGGAATGACTCCTCTCCCTAGAAAAACCTGAACATAAGCAATTTAGCTCCCATTTCTGGGAGTTCAAAACCTCCTGAGGTCCACCCACAGTCCCTAGACTGAGAGCTACTGCCCAGAGTATTTTTGTGCAGTATTCTACCATGTACCCACACTCACCATGCTATACTACCATTATCCATTTGCAAAGTCTGTTGGGAGACATCCTCCCCATGAAGGGCATGAGTGGAAGGACTCAGACTCTCCCAGGTCCTCTGAGCTCAGCAAATGGCTACCACACAACTTACTGTCTGAACCTGGGGGCACTGCTGACAACTACCACATGCAAGAGTCACAGCCTTCCTAGGCACACCAGGACACACAGTCACCCACAGGGGGCACTGACATTCTCCTGGGGAAAGGAGACCCACTTTTTCTCTCCCTGTGGAATCTCCTGGGATTTTACAATCTGAGGCTACATCCAGGTGAACAGCTTGCAGAGGAAAACATACCAAAGAACTGACTTGCTTATCAGAAGCACCCTGAGTGACAACTTGTTGGGCAGGAGGGGAGTACTGCTGGGGGTCAGAATGCGGTTTGTGTTCCAAGCCCACTGTGGGAGAGTTAACTGGCTCTCTGGGCATCAGTGTCCTATTCCGAGATTAACTCAATTTGGCAAATATCTGAGTAAGTGCTGTATGTCAGGAGCCAGGAAAACATGCGGTCTACTGAGTGCACACAGTGAAACACAGGGTCCTCCGGGCACGTCTTCACAACTCCCAGGCTCACAACTCTTACTTAGTGTGTTCTTCTCACACAATCACCCTATCATCGGGCATTCTTGGCAAAGTTTGTAACTCTTTAGGCCTTTGATCCACAAGATAGTGAAACTGCCTGGAAAAGAGAATAACAGTGTCCATCATTGTGTCTCCACAGCGTAGTACACTGGCAGACGGAGACTGATAGATGCTTGTCGAATAAATCACAAAGACTCCTTGGTTGTAAATACCTGTTGCATGCCAGAAAGAAACTTGAAATAAGTGTCTACTTTTTAGAAGACTATTCTGGAACTTAGACACAGAGTGGTGCTGCCTCGTTTTCCAGTGGTCATTCTGGAAGGTTGCACCTTGACTCCAAGGGCACCGCTAAAGTACAGAACATTTGGGAACTTTTCTTTCTGAGAGAACTTTAGAACATGCAGAACAATCCCCGGGCACTCTCAGTGGCAGCAAATCCTCCCTCTCTCAAGGTGGGTCAGCATGAAGCTGTTCAAAAGCCTGGTCTGGTTAAGTGAGGTGAGTTCCCAAGCCAGGTAAGATGATTTTGGGTCAAACATGTGGTGTGACTGTTGAACAAGACTGATTTTTCCCCTATGGCTTGCATATTTACTACCAAAACAGGACTTCTAAAGAGATTCTGGCAAAAGAGCACCAATGAAATACAAGTCTAACTTTCAAGGACAACAATTTTTAATAGAGCTGTCCCTATTTGAATGCCCAAGTTCTGGTACATCTGGTTAAAATTCACGTTCAGAACTTCAGGGACTTACAACATCCAAAGGAAAGATGTCAAGACTGGTGATAGACATCATCCCCAAACCGACTAAGCCTGACACCAAATGACTTCCCAGGGAGGAAGAACTCACCTCGAGATGATCTGTGAAAAAGGAAAACACCTCCTTTGCTCTTAGAAATGGTTTCACAAAGCTATCTTACCCACCAAAAACTGGAGAGAAATTCTAGCCTCCAGGACACATGTGACTGGTTTCCAGAGCTGGGTGGGTTCCACACTTGTGCTCAGATTGTAACATCATCAGGCAAAGATGCCCCTGCCTGGGAAGCGGGAATTGACCTGGGCTCAGCTTCACCCTGAGAATCCCAACCTCTGCTCTAGGACAGGACCACTCCACAGGCGACACGAAGGAGAAAGGATGAAAGCCACTGCTATGCCCCCAAACGCACTCTTCTTCCATTCTCCCCAAATGAATCTAAAGACTGATCTGCTCTCACAGAAGCAGAGCTGAACAGCTCATATAAGATGATCAACCACTCTATCTGGCAAAGTCAGCTATCATAAAGTATTCAGGAACACTTAAGTTTTAGCAGGAGTAAGGCTGGAAGTTCTTAAGTCTTAGGTACTCCCAGCAATGACCCGGCATCCTATGGGCTCTTAACCAAAGGGGCACAGGGAAGTTTATCCAAAGAGTGGCGTGCGTCTTGGGGCACGGCCAACAGATCCAACCTGTGCCGCCCAGGAAGTCGAGGGAGCAAGTTCCAAGAGGATCCAGAGAGCTCAAAGCTCCCGAAGAGCCTATCCTCAGTCCGGAGGGCGAACTTGCGTGCCTCCTTCAGCACCCCCATCTTTGTGGGCGGAAAGCAGTGCCACGCGAATGTCCCGGAAGAGAAATGACAGCCTCGGGAGATCAACCCCACGACGGAGTGCGGAGGCAGCCGCCAAGCACTCGAGCTTAGGGGGATTCAGGACCCCCGGCCAGCTCGCCCGGACGGAACCTGGGATCATGGCTAGCTCAGCGTCCTCTTCCCGGGGCCCGAGAGTCACGCTTCGGCCGGGGGCAGCCTGGAGTGCTCCCCGGAGGCAGAAGCGGCGAGGCTCCGGGCCTCGGCTCAATGCCGCCGCCACGCTCCCTGTCCGGCCGCCTCGGCCTCCTTCTCCCGCCGGCCAGGCCTCCCAGCCACCACCACCACTTACCTCAGCTCGAGGGCAGAGAGGGGGCCACGGCTTCGCAGGGGTCGGGACGGCGCGGAGAAGGCGTCTCTCGGCCCTTCCGCTGCTCACAGTCTCCGGCTTCAGGCGCGACGCGGGCGGAACAAACGGGCTCCACTAGCCGCGGGGGCCGGCCATTGTGCGACGTCATCAGGCCGCGACGGTTATCTGCGGGCCGGCGGGCTTCCCTCACTTGCCACGCCCCCCACCTGCTTCCTTCCGGCCTCCGCGCCCCCGCCCCCGCGCGGCCCCGCCCCCTCGGGGCGCGCCCGCCCGTACCAGTCACGGCGCAGGCGCGGCCGGGGCCCCGCCCCTGGGGCGGGGCTCAGAGCGCGCGCACCGCCCATCGAGGTGCAAGTAGGGCTGTCCTCAGCGCCTGGTCACGTGACGTGCTGCCCCAGGTTCCCGCCTAGCGGTCCGCTGTCCCTGCTGGACCCGACCAGGCGGAGGTGGGTCCCGCGACGTCACGGCTCAGAGCTTACCTTTTCCAGCCCTGCTGAAGAGCCCCCAGCCTAAAGTTAATCCTTTTTGGGAAATGAGTTTAAATAACAAAACTTAGACTTTTTAAATTGCTTACTAGGGACTACACAGCTCCCTCTCTGTTAAATATCAGTTCAACACAAGATTAATCATTTTCGAAAAACTGAGTTTAAATGTCAAAGTTTAAACATTTTAGAAACTATTTCTGTGGTACTAAATAGCTCTTGCTTTATCAAATATAATCAGTCCAACACAAAATTTAATCATTTTTTGATACTGAGTTTAAATGTCAAAGCTTTAAAGTTTTAAACTAATTCCCATGCTGTTAAAAAGTATCAACAGGTCCAAGATCTAATCACTTATGATAACTCTATCAAGCCTTAATACCTAATCTAACTGATGTTGCAGCCTGTCCCGAGAGTGGAAATTTAAACCCATCAGTCTGCAACCCAACAGTCTGATCAGCACTAGGGAGGTGATCTGTGTAAGACCCCCTCCCCTCCCTAAGGTAAGGCACCCTTGTTGGAGCAACCTATCCTCTTAGCTTCATTTTTCTACCCTCTGTGCCCATAAAGACCCAGTTTCCCCCAGTCTCTTCCATCAGGAAGCTTCCATAAGCCTCTTATCCTTATGCCTCAGAGTGCAGACAAAATGAAAACCACAATCACAGAAAACTAATCAAACTGATCACACGGACCACAGCCTTGTCTAATGCAATGAAACTATGAGCCGTGCCCTGTAGGGTCACCCAAGACAGACGGGTCATGGTGGAGAGCTCTGACAAAACGTGGTTCACTGGAAAAGGCAATGACAAGCAAGTTCAGAATTCTTGCCTTGAGAACCCCATGAACAGTATGAAAAGGCAAAATGATACAACACTGAAAGATGAACGCCCCAGGTCTGTAGAGGTCCAATATACTACTGAAGAGTGGAGAAATAACTCCAGAGAGAATGAAGAGACAGAGCCAAAGCAAAAACAACACACATTTGTGGATGTGACTGGTGATGGAAGTAAAGTCTAATGCTGTAAAAAAACAACATTGCATAGGAACCTGGAATGTTAGGTCTATGAATCAAGGTAAACTGGAAGTGGTCAAACAGCAGATGGCAAGGGTGAACATCAACCTTTTAGGAATCAGTGAACTAAAATGGACAGGAATGGGTGAATGTAACTCAGATGACCATTTTATCTACTAATGTGGGCAAGAATCCATCAGAAGAAATGGAATAGCCCTAATAGTCAACAGAAGAGTCCAAAATGCAGTACTTGAGTGCAATCTCAACAGAAAGATCTCTGCTCATTTCCAAGGCAAACCATTCAGTATCACAGTAATCCAAGTCTGTGGCCCAACCAGTAATGCTGAGAAGCTGAAGCTGAATGGTTCTATGAAGACCTACAAGACCTTCTAGAACTAACACTGAAAAAAGATGTCCTTTTCATTATTGGGGACTGGAATGGAAAAGTAGGAAGTCAAGGGATACTTGGAGTAACAGGCAAATTTGGCCTTTGAGTACAAAATGAAGTAGGGCAAAGGCTAACAGAGTTTTGCCAAGAGAAAATACTGACCATAACAAGCACTCTCTTCTAACAACGCAAGAGAAAACTCTACACATGGACATCACCAGATGGTCAATACCAAAATCAGATTGATTACATTATTTGCAGCCAAAGATGGAGAAGTTCTATACAATCAGCAAATTCAAGACTGGGAGCTGACTGTGGTTCAGATTGTGAACTCCTTTTTGCCAAATTCAGACTTGAAGAAAGAAGGGAAAACCACTAGACCATTCAGGTATGACCTAAATCAAATCCCTTACAATTATACAGTGGAAGTGACAAATTCAAGAGATTAGATCTGATAGTGTGCCTGAAGAACTATGGACAGAGATTCATGACATCGTACAGGAAGCAGTGATCGAGACCATCCCTAAGAAAAAGAAATGCAAAAAGGCAAAATGGTTGTCTGCAGAGGCCTTACAAATAGCTAAGAAAACGAGAGAAGTGAAAGGCAAAGGAGAAAAGGAAAGATACACCCATTTGAATGCAGAGTTCCAAAGAATAGCAAGGAGAGATAAGAAAGCCTTCCTCAGCAATCAATGCAAAGAAATAGAGGAAAACAATAGAATGGGAAAGACTAGAAATCTCTTTAAGAAAATTAGAGATACTAAGGGAACATTTCTTGTAGAGATGGGCACAATAAAGGACAGAAATGGTGTGGACCTAACAGAAGCAGAAGAGATTAAGAAGAGATGGGAAGAATACACAGAAGTACTATACAAAAAGATCTTCATTACCCAGATAATCACGATGGTGTGATCACTCACCTAGTGCCAGACATCCTGGAATGCAAAGTCAAGTGGGCTTTAGGAAGCATCGATAGGAACAAAGCTAGTGGAGTTGATGAAATTCCAGCTGAGCTGTTTCAAATCCTAAAAGGTGATGCTGTTAAAGTGCTTCACTCAATATGCCAGCAAATTTGGAAAACTCAGCAGTGGCCTCAGGACTGGAAAAGGTCAGTTTTCATTCCAATCCCTAAGAAAGGCAATGCCAAAGAATGCTCAAACTACTGCACAATTGCACTCATCTCACACACTAGCAAAGTAATGCTCAAAATTCTCGAAGCCAGGCTTCAACCGTACATGAACCATGAACTTCCAGATGATCAAGCTGGATTTAGAAAAGCCAGAGGAACCAGAGATCAAATTGCCAACATCCGTTGGACCATAGAAAAAGCGAGAGAGTTCCAGAAAAACATCTACTTCTGCTTTATTGACTATGCCAAAGCCTTTGACTGTGTGCATCACAACGAACTGTGGGAAAGTCTTAAAGAGATAGGAATACAGACCTTCTTACCTGCCTCCTGAGAAATCTATATTCGGGTCAAGAAGCAACAGTTAAAACTGGACATGGAACAACAGACTGGTTCCAAATTGGGAAAGGAGTATGTCAAGGCTGTATATTGTCATGCTACTTATTTAACTTATATACAGAGTACATCATGAGAAATGCTGGGCTGGATGAAGCACAAACTGGAATCAAGATTGCTGGGAGAAATATCAATAACCTCAGATATTCAGATGACACCTCCCTTATGGCAGAAACAGAAGAAGAACTAAGGAGCCTCTTGATGAAGGTGAAAGAGGAGAGTGAAAAAGTAGGCTTAAAACTCAACATTCAGTAAACTAAGATAATGGCATCTAGTCACATCACTTCATGGGAAATAGATGGGGAAACAGTGAGAGTCTTTATTTTGGGGGGCTCCAAAATCACTGCAGATGGTGACTGCAGCCATGAAATTAAAAGATGCTTGCTCCTTGGAAGAAAAGTTATGACCAACCTAGACAGTGTATTAAAAAGAAGAGACATTATTTTGCCAACAAAAGTCCATCTACTCAAAGCTATGGTTTTTCCAGTAGTCACAATATGGATGTGAGAGTTGGACAGTGAAGAAAGCTGAGCACTGAAGAATTGATGCTTTTGAACTATGGTGTTGGAGAAGACTCTTGAGAGTCCCTTGGACCGCAAGGAGATCCAACCAGTCCATCCTAAAGGAGATCAGTACTGGGTGTTCATTGGTAGGTCTGATGTTGAAGCTGAAACTCCAATACTTTAGCCACCTGATGCGAAAAATTGACTCATTTGAAAAGACCCTGGTGCTGGGAAAGATTGAGGGCAGGAGGAGAAGGGGATGACAGAGGATGAGTTGGTTGGATGGCATCACTGAGTCAATGGGGATGAGTTTGAGCAAGTTCCGGGAGTTGGTGATGAACAGAGAAGCCTGGTGTGTTGCAGTCCATGGGGTCAAAAAGAGTCAGACACAACTGAGCAATTGAACTGAACTGTGCCCGTAAAAATCTCCATTTTGTATAGCTTCTAGAAGTCTTTCTGCTTCCTAAAGGGGATGCTGCCTGATTCATAAATTGTTGAATAAAGCTAATTAGATCTTCAAATTTACTCAGTTGAATTTTTTAAACACTGATTTCTTTTTAAAAAATTAACTCAAGAAACAAAAAAATAATCAGCTCAACACAAAAGTTAATAATTTTTTAGATACTGCATTTAAATATCAGAGCTTAAAATTTTACACCATTTCCATGGGGATCAACAACTCTGCATCTTAGTAAATTCAATCAGCTTAATATGATGTCACCTTTCCTTGATCAGAAAGACGTTATGTGGCATTTGGAGCATTTTAACCAACTGCCTTCACAGTCCTCCGGATGGAGCCCCACCAAGCGTCCTGCA